AAGATTACTCAAAGACCAACACAACCAGTGGCCTCATCAACTGTTCCGTGTGTATTCACATCCCAATCTCACCTCTATGGAGATAACATACTGAGAGAAAAAAATAAGGGATCACATAAAATCAAAACAATGAATCAAGTCAAACATAACAGACTTGATTCATTGTTTCCAGTTTAAAGAAAGAAAGTCAGTATCGAGTATGTGCCCAATGTGCTCTAACAACTGTCTGGCAATGTCTGGGCATACTTCCAATCAAGTTAGGTCATTTAGATATCCTTCTCAAAGATAGATGTGATCCTTTATTTTTTTTCCTTCAGTACATATATAACACAAGCCATTCAGGTGAAAGATTTTGCAATCACATTGCCATCCCATCTTATCAATGGCCTGTCAGCAGCTGCCCTAACAGAGGAATGTCTTCACCTTCAGAGAAGTTTTCATGCATTTAAGCCATACCAATTTTGTTTCTTGTTTTATGGATCCACCAGTCTTTTTTTTTCAAGTATAAGAAAAAAATTAAAATAAATTTTCCCTGCTCGAAAAATAAATAATGATGTTTAGATACATGGGAACAAGACTTCGACTACCGAAGGCAGTTTGTTGAACACACTGTTCTCAGAGACTTTAAACTAAATTATCTAACAATAGGTGTATTAGAAAACAGTTTCGAGTGTGAACTTGAAAAACAGTGCCTTTGAAAAACTCATGTGGGTTTTTGCTTTGACGTGATTTTTTTCTTTATTTTTGTTCCTTCCTGCCTTTAGGGGTTTTTTAGGACAAAAATATGTAAAACAAGAAATAAAATTGGTCTGGCCTTAGTTTGGTTTAACACTCATAAATTCTCAGGAATCAAGCTGGCCCAACTCACATGCACATCAATGTACTCAGTGTAGATATTATATATACAGATCATACTTAATATGTGATTTGTGCAACATAAAACATTCTGCCATTGATATAAAGATTGTCTGACCTATTAATAGTCTTAGTTGGTGCAGAAACAAAAATAAGTGACACTATCATGGCTGAGCAACTGTCAAAATGATACCATAAGATTGGCTTTTGGGGTAAGAATATAGATTTTCACATGCATTATTTAGTATTTGTTCTGAGCTGGGATTAAAAAAATATTATTTTGTTCACATGACATTATGTCCAACTTTTTGGTCCTGTAAACCATAATATACACATGTATATCAACATACCTGAGCTCAAGTTTGACACTGCAGAAATACTGCAGATGCACAAGGGCATATCTTGGAGCAAGTACCATTTGTCAGGAGCTCATTGATGGTGCGGGTGTTCCTCTCACGTGACTTTGAGTTTGACCTTTGACAATCACAAAAAATCTAAGTTGACAATGGTACATCCCTGACAACCATGCCAAGCTTTTTCTATTACATTTCGATGACCATTCTCCAGATTAGGCTTAATAAATATAATGGATGACAAACCAGGCCATATCATTCACATGACACTGGTGATTGTTTATGTGAAGGAGTCCAGATCTGAATCCCATACAGCATGTCTGGTACATTATGGGTCGCAGAATATGCCAGAGAGAGACATCCATTACAGAATTTGGATGTATTGGAACAAGCCCTTCATCAAGAATAGAACACAATACCTCAAAATCAAATTTAACATCTGATACAGTTGATGAGAAGGACCATGAATGTTATTGCAGCTGCCAGTGTTTACACTAGATATTGGCATCATGCTCAGTTATTGATAATTTTGTGATTTCTTGACAATTGACTGCGAAATGACTGCATTTGTTAATGTCATAGCCCTGCAAATGAGTCACTTTTTTGCCATGGTAGCTTCTATGAACAAACTACAGGTTTTCATTCCTTTTGTAGTTTAGATTTGCCATTTAATTATTCCTTGTGGGTCAGTTTATCCTAACAGTAAATTTGGATAAGATCCTTTGCTATGGTTAATGCTAACATATTGATGCTACTATTTTTTTCTAAATAACGAAATGTGTGATTATTAGGTAACCATCACAATAATTTGAAATCATTAAGGAGTTGAATTCTATCAAAAGGAAACATCAACAAATTTAACCACAGATGATTATAACATATATACATTTAAAAATGAAATGGCATAATGTCTGAACATGTGAACCTTTACAACACTGAGTATTCTTGTCATCCTGCTGTCAGGTGAGGTGAAATGGGGCTTAATGTCGAACTTAAGAATATTTCGCTCATATGACATGCATGTGTGTGTATGTGTGTCTGATTGTACTGGCCCAGACTTAGGCTGGTATTATAGTGCTAGCTCACTGAGATACCATGCTGAAGTTAAGCATGAATACCCCACTCAGACACACATTATACTGACTCCGAGCAGACCAGTCCTTGTTGTACCCTTTAATGCCGAACGCCAGACAGGAACCAACAAGTACCATATTTTAACGTCTTTTGGTATGACACGGTCGGGGATCATCCTGCTGTGACAACAGTTGGAAATGAATGTGAACACAAAACTTACCAACATGTCACATAAATAGAGGATACTAAATGATCTTCCATGTAATACCATTTTTATTAAACGAGCTATTGATTGGGTATCAACCGAGCGAAAGCGATTTTGATACTAAGTCTTTCATGAGTTTAATAAAAATGGTAGTTCACAGAAGCGAGTTTAGCATTCTGTTTATTACTCTCCAACATAAATTTTGAGAAACTGCCTACAGTGTGATGACGAGTTTTCCACGAGTCAAGCAAGGTCTAATACCATTGCGACAGAGGCATTAGCATTGTGACATCATAACTGTAACCATTATGACGTCAAACGTCTAGCGGTATTACACTAGTGTAATATTGCCGTAAAAATATTACACTGCTGTATCTTCTACAGATGAGTAATAATTCATAATATGTCTTAATATAATATAAACATTCATAAATACATAACAAACAGAGATGGCATCATAAAATTCAGATATTAAGTTACCAGCAAGGCAAATATTTAAGAGTTAAAATCTAAGTTACAACACATGAACAAATCAATTCTATGAAATCCTAACAAATCTGAATTAAACCAATTAAACAACAATGCACAACATATAAATTATAGTAAGCTATAATCAAGATTGACAGCAATAATCCTCAAGCGGCGGTGACAGTTCAGAACAAAATAATTTAAAATTGCTGTTATTTGCCACAATGCTCCATTATGGATTGATCAGACAAATGAAAAAGAATAACAATCTTTTAAAATGAAGTAACTTGTAACTTTGTAAATAATCATTGGTCAAATGCATTGTATATATATTGTATATATATGTATATATATCATTTGGACATCAACACCTCGTGAGGCAGAGAAGCCTTCTTAGAATGAAGTACATGTCAATACTGTAAACACAGTAAACACACTCCAATGTAAACACTACTTGCATTCATAACTTTCATCGAAACAACTGCCACCAACAACTTTATGCCCAATATAATATTAAGCTCCACAATTATGTTTTGTTATCAACTCTAACTAAAGCATACATATAACAGTAGCCCAACTAGGTGTATCCAATTCTTGTGTACCCATCCCAGGTTCTAGGTGTATATCTTGTTCAGGTAAAATACATTATGAACAACAAAGCACTTCAACATTTCAAAAGCCTGCTTAAGACAGTGCTTAATTACTAATGTTAGCTTCCACAACTGTTGAATTATTTGTCAGATCCAAACTTGTGTTGAATTACTCAGGCAAGATCTCAAAACTCTGAATTTCTTGCATTAGATCCCATAACTGTTGAATTACCTATGGTAGATCCTATAACTGTTGAATTACCTATGGCAGATCCCATAACTGTTGAATCACCTATGGCAGATCCTATAACTGTTGAATTACCTATGGCAGATCCCATAACTGTTGAATCACCTATGGCAGATCCTATAACTGTTGAATCACCTATGGCAGATCCTATAACTGTTGAATTCCATATGGCAGATCCTATAACTCTTGAATTACCTATGGCAGGTCCCATAACCATTGAATTACATATGGTAGGTCCTATAACTGTTGAATCACCTATGGCAGATCCTATAACTGTTGAATTCCATATGGCAGATCCTATAACTCTTGAATTACCTATGGTAGGTCCCATAACCATTGAATTACATATGGTAGATCCTATAACTGTTGAATTACCTATGGCAGATCCTATAACTGTTGAAATCCATATGGCAGATCCTATAACTCTTGAATTACCTATGGCAGGTCCCATAACCATTGAATTACATATGGTAGATCCTTTAACTGTTGAATTACCTATGGCAGATCCCATAACTGTTGAATTGAGAATGGCAGATCCCATAACTGTTGAATTATATTAGCTTTCGATAAATAAATCATGTCAGATCCAATAACTGGTGAAATAATTATGTCACATGCCGCTACTGCTGATTTCCTTATATCAGACACCACATCTGTTAAATTATTTATGGCAGATCCAAAAACTGTTGAAGTACTTGTTTCAGATCCAAAAACAGCTTAATTACTTTTGTCAGATCCCATAAGAGTTGAAGTACTTGTCAGAGATTTTAAAACTGTTGAATTATTTATGTCAGATCCCAAAACTGTTGAAATACTCATGTCAGATCCAAAAACTGCTGAATTTCTTCAGTCAGACCCCAGTAGTGGTAGTAGTTGAAGTACTTGTCAGAGATTTCATGACTGTTGAATTAATCCTATTAGCTCCCATAAGTCTGAAATTATACATGCCAGATCCCGTAAATATTGCATAGGCTACAGTGTCAGAAAAAGACCCCCCAAAAATCGTTTCATGAAAATGGTACATAAGGTCAATAGTCCAGAAAAATATGTCTCAGTGAAGAGTGTTGTGTCTCTATTTGCCATACTGTGTACTTCAGATACTTGGAGACTTAAGGTGATATTGCTTTCGCAAGATAACAAATATTTCTAACTACTTTTTCAGATAGGCAACAGTTAGAAAGGACATGACACAAGCTGTAGAAACATCCCAGATTACAATTCATCTATTGTGCAGAAATAACAGCATCTGATTGGTTATTACGTTGTGTATATGTACATATGATACTATTTTGTTCATTTTAATTTGAACGTTTTAGGTACTACAGAAACATGCATCATATAACTAAATGAAACCGTGCACCAGAATACAGAACTTTAGGACTTAAACAACTAGGTAACAGTCAGAACAGTAGTTCCTCAGTAGTGAATATTGGTTTCTTACACTACAGCCAAGTAACTGAATCACAATCAGGTGGTTGATAGTATGATCAACTACCTACGTTGTCTGGGAATGATGCCAAGTAACTAAGTCACCCAATCCCCATTTTAGGCGGCTCACATCAAGCATGCGGTACTAGGGGCCTATTCTCACCAAGAACCTGCATGTTCCTTTACAAGAAAACTGTGTACTGCCGCTGGATAATGAAGACTTATTTGTGCAAGAGATGCATAACCTGTTATTCATGCCATGATGGAATGAAGACTGACACCAGTCATAACATGTACATAAATGCTCACAGTAAAGTTATTCTTTTCGTACAAGAAGACGGTCATCTTTTAAAACACTGTTATATCATTCAATCATTCATATTCATTCATTCTTTCAAACATTCATTCATTCTGTTCATTGCATCATTTCACACATGCTTAAACTCACCTGACACACCATGTCACTGCAATCACTATGACATATGTAAATCACTCTCTAAATGATATTACGTAAAACTTCTCACTCTTATCAAACAATTTTGAAGCAGTAAAAAATATTTCAGCTTCCTAAAAATATCAAGAGATTTTTTCCTCATTAACTATAGATGATACGTGGATGAAATTCCCAAAATATTATAAAAATATGTTTTCAGAACAGTGATAAAATGTTTTGGCAATCAGGCTACAGGTTACTTTACTTCCCATATTGAGCATTTTCAGGTGTTTTTATCACTGAAAGGCAAAGAAATGCATTCATACCGTTTTTGTTTAGGTTTCATGTACACAGTTACAAAAACTTAAATGATTGCATAATTTTTGTGATTCATAGCCTCCGTTCACCCATGCCAAAACAGATATATGAAAATGTCATGACCATGATATTTATTGCTTCTTGTCCTCTAAGGCACTATCATGTATGGTGGAGTGGTGGGGGTGGGTGGGTATATTATAGCATATTTTTAAAAACCAACCTTTTTTGTAAAACTATCAAAAGTATATGAGTTAAGTACTCGTACATGTATCTCATATTTCACAACAAAAAAATGCCATCATTTTTTTGGTCTGAAATAGACATCCTTGGTGAGCATGGACATGACACATGGCACTTGTTTTTTGCCGTCTTTCCATTTTTCCTTGTCATTTTGAGACTGGTAACCAGTGGCAACTCTGTGACTGACAGATGTCAATAATCTTGACAGAGACGTGGTTGAGAGATCAGCTGATTGTATTGCCTTCTTAAGACTCTGTATAAACCAGGTGCCAGTTGTACGGCGCCATGCAAAGTATCCTGAAACAATATGAGGAAACCATTCTGAGAGGTTGCTGATACATGTATATGACTTCAGTCAGTGACTCTACACTTTCCTAGAACATCCCAGGTAAATAATAAATTCAAACTGTATACACTTATCACAATAAGTGACTGACTGAGTTGGGCCACTTTTAACAGAGTCACAGTTACAATATAAGTTTAATGCTTCTCTCGAGGGTAATACGGTCTGATGTACGCCTCTTTGTAGCAGTGTTATCTCTCGGCCTACCAGCTCAGGTGACACCGCTATAAAGAGGCCTACATCAGACCGTATTACCTTAGGGAGACGTTTACGATGTATTTATCTTACCGCCATGTTCAATGTACAAATTATCATTATTTTATTTTAAAGATCGATAAGCTCACTACCGACTATATGACATGTAAACAAAATGGCGTCTGCCTCTCGACTGGATGTTTAAAATCAGTGAAACATATTCTGACAAGCTTAAACTTGCAATAAAAATGGTTAATTATGTTTAAGTTTAGTGTGCAAACAATTCAAAGTATGAAATACTTTAAATAAAGCAGTCAAAGTCGGTAAAATAAATGTGTACATAGTGAACTCAAAAACAGCTAATCAAATGGTTTCAAACTCCATGCACTGTATGCGTCATATTTTGACATCATACAATTGTTAGCGATACAGCTTCTCGGTGGAGAGTTTGTCGGTTACCATGGCAGCAGGCAATATTTTTTCCAGTTGTCACCCTCCTAGGAGGAGTGACACAGAAATTTTTTAAAGCATCATTGACCAATGAAATTAAAGCAATTTTCATGTACAACAAGGAGAGTTCTATGGATATACACCTTCTTTAATATGATATGAGCGACGTTTTGGTGTAGCTACTAACACCGTTATCAAGCAAAATGCTTGATTTTGCTTGATAACGGTGTTAGTAGCTACACCGAAACGTTGCTCATATCATATTAAAGAAGGTGTATATCCATAGAACTCTCCTTGTTGTACATCACACCACCTTCTAAATGCCACTTAAACTAGTAATTTTCATGTAGGTAATATATCACTGCGCGTCAGCTGAATTTGTTAGTAAAGCCCAAACTGATGTAGGTCTCAGATGGTGAAGCTGCCAGTATGGTGCTAACAAATCTACACACTGAATCAAACTCGTGCCTTCAGCATGATAAGCAAACGCTTTAACCACTGGGCTACCCCACCTCCCCAAAAGGATAGAACATAGAACAGCAAATTGTGTTGATAGACAACTTGCCAACAGGTGCCCATCAGGAAATCATCATGACTTGTGACAAATAATCCAAATTTCCCAATAGAGACTTTAAAACATTCTAGATAAAAAGATCCCAACTATAGACCATATATAGATACCAAAAGCACCATAGCACATTAGCTTAAATGGAAATGTGTTCAAGGGTGAAATAGCAATGAAGACAGTGATATTGATATCCACATATTTTCAGTACACAAATACTACTAAAATACAGTGACTTGATCAAAACCTCATCATGATCACATCATGGTAAGACCAAACATTAATGTCAAGGTTCAGATTAAATACAATGGAATATGTCAAATCCAGACTCTTTGTAAATCCATAATCCGGACTACTCCTGGCAAAGTTGTTTTTAATTTATCATTAAAGCTTGCTTTATAATCCATACTCTCTCAATTATGGATTATGGACTGAAATAGCAGTCCCGACAGTCAACTTGCTTTAAGAACAATGCTTTGTAATCCGGACGTAGCTGACTAAAATAACAGTCCGTTGAATAAACATCTCCGTTACTTCTGTTCTCAGTGGTTAACTTATTCTATAAACACACATTATTTAATGTGATAACTTTAACTAAAATTACAGGCTTGATTCACATTCACTTCATAATTATGGCAGACCGACCAGTAGACTAATGCTTAGTCTCTGAATATATATAATTTTGATAGTAACAAACAAGCCAATTCAAATTGAAAAGGAGCCCTAGGGAGACCAGAGACTTGCTTTATTTAAGGCTTTAGCACTTCAGAGAGGGCTTGGTAGGGAAAATAATGTGGTTCAGGGACTGTGAGACAGACTAGCCAACCAGCGAAATGTAGACCGACTGATTTGAAATTACCGTCAGCTTTTTGTAAAGAACATAAGTCTTGAAAATGTTGAAGCACATAAAGCAATTTGCGTAACAGACAAAAGTTGACTAATCCGGACTGCTTTATATTCTGGAAAAATGAGTCGGTCCCAGGCCAGTCCAAAATAGACAGATTCCACTGTACATAAAATATAAGTTGTTTTTTCGACGCAACTTTACTACACACACTTACCAGGCGGAGAAGAATACATGACTAAAAAATCCTTGAATAAAGGTGCTGGCTTCACGACAATGTTTGAACTCCCTTTACCAACATCTGTATCATCTTGTACACCGGCCTCATCAAGCAGGATGTCATCAGGCGCCATGTCACAAGACATATCATCAGCTTCATCAGCCGTGTCGCCAGCTTCTGTCACCATGTGAGGGGAACTCTTACATGGCGGGCCATTAACGGAGGAACTGCTGCTTCCACGAGGATGGTGTCGCTTCTTGGGATGTTTCACAGGTTTCCAGACTGTTAAATCCAACCCCTTGTCCAAGTTTATTCCTCGACAGGCCTGCAATAGTATTCAACATGTTGTTTAATTTCTTTCCAGACTTCAACTTACCTGCACAAGGAACAGTCATGTTAGCCTTCCAACTCCATAGCTGTTGGAGGTGGAATCATGTTGGCCTTCCTGTGCAATACCTGTATACAAGGAAGTCATGCTTGGCCTTTCCTACACCTTACCTGTACATAGCAGATGACCTTCCTACACCCTACCTGTACAAGGACAGTCATGATTGGCCTCCCTACACCCTACCTGTACAAGGGACAGACATGATAGCCCTTCCTACACCTGCACAAGGGACAGTCATGATTGGCCTTCCTACACCCTACCTGTACAAGGGACAGTCATGATTGGCCTTCCCACACCCTACCTGTACAAGGGACAGTCATGATTGGCCTTCCTACACCCTACCTGTACAAGGGACAGTCATAGTTGGCCTTCCTATACCCTACCTGCACAAGGGACAGTCATAGTTGGCCTTCCCACACCCTACCTGTACAAGGGACAGTCATGATTGGCCTTCCCACACCCTACCTGTACAAGGGACAGTCATGATTGGCCTTCCTACACCCTCCTACACTCTACCTGTACAAGGGACAGTCATAGTTGGCCTTCCTATACCCTACCTGTACAAGGGACAGTCATGATAGCCCTTCATATACCCTACCTGTACAAGGGACAGTCATGGTTGGCCTTCCTACACCCTACCTGTACAAGGGACAGTCATGATAACCCTTCATATACCCTACCTGTACAAGGGACAGACATGACAGCCCTTCCTATACCCTACCTGTACAAGGGACAGACATGATAGCCCTTCCTATACCCTACCTGTACAAGGGACAGACATGACAGCCCTTCCTATACCCTACCTGTACAAGGGACAGTCGTGGTTGGTCTTCCTACACCCTACCTGTACAAGGGACAGTCATGGTTGGCCTTCCTACACCCTACCTGTACAAGGGACAGTCATGATAGCTCTTCATACACCCTACCTGTACAACGGACAGCCATGATAGCCCTTCCTACACCCTACCTGTACAAGGGACAGTCATGGTTGGCCTTCCTACACCCTACCTGTACAAGGGACAGTCATGATAGCCCTTCATATTACTCTACCTGTACAAGGGACAGACATGACAGCCCTTCCTACACCCTACCTGTACAAGGGACAGTCATGATAGCCCTTCATATTACTCTACCTGTACAAGGGACAGTCATGGTTGGCCTTCCTATACCCTACCTGTACAAGGGACAGTCATGATAGCCCTTCATATTACTCTACCTGTACAAGGGACAGTCATGGTTGGCCTTCCTATACCCTACCTGTACAAGGGACAGTCATGATAGCCCTTCATATTACCCTACCTGTACAAGGGACAGTCGTGGTTGGTCTTCCTATACCCTACCTGCACAAGGGACACCTGCACAAGGGACAGTCATGGTTGGCCTTCCTACACCCTACCTGTACAAGGGACAGACATGATAGCCCTTCCTATACCCTACCTGAACAAGGGACAGTCATGATAGCCCTTCCTACACCCTACCTGTACAAGGGACAGTCATGGTTGGCCTTCCTACACCCTACCTGTACAAGGGACAGTCATGGTTGGCCTTCCTATACCCTACCTGTACAAGGGACAGTCATGGTTGGCCTTCCTACACCCTACCTGCACAAGGGACAGTCATGGTTGGCCTTCCTATACCCTACCTGTACAAGGGACAGTCATGATTGGCCTTCCTACACCCTACCTGTACAAGGGACAGTCATGATTGGCCTTCCTACACCCTACCTGCACAAGGAACAATCATGATAGCCCTTCCTACACCCTACCTGTACAAGGGACAGACATGGTTGGCCTTCCTATACCCTACCTGTACAAGGGACACAGTCATGATTGGCCTTCCTACACCCTACCTGCACAAGGGACAGTCATGATAGCCCTTCCTACAAGGAACAATCATGATAGCCCTTCCTACACCCTACCTGTACAAGGGACAGTCATGATAGCCCTTCCTATACCCTACCTGTACAAGGGACAGTCATGGTTTCCTACACTTCCTACACCCTACCTGTACAAGGGACAGTCATGGTTGGCCTTCCTATACCCTACCTGTACAAGGGACAGTCATGGTTGGCCTTCCTACACCCTACCTGCACAAGGGACAGTCATGGTTGGCCTTCCTATACCCTACCTGTACAAGGGACAGTCATGATTGGCCTTCCTACACCCTACCTGTACAAGTGACAGTCATGATTGGCCTTCCTACACCCTACCTGCACAAGGAACAATCATGATAGCCCTTCCTACACCCTACCTGTACAAGGGACAGACATGGTTGGCCTTCCTATACCCTACCTGTACAAGTGACAGTCATGGTTGGCCTTCCTACACCCTACCTGCACAAGGAACAATCATGATAGCCCTTCCTACACCCTACCTGTACAAGGGACAGTCATGATTGGCCTTCCTATACCCTACCTGTACAAGGGACAGTCATGGTTGGCCTTCCTACACCCTACCTGTACAAGGGACAGTCATGGTTGGCCTTCCCACACCCTACCTGTACAAGGGACAGTCATGATAGCCCTTCCTATACCCTACCTGTACAAGTGACAGTCATGGTTGGCCTTCCTATACCCTACCTGTACAAGTGACAGTCATGGTTGGCCTTCCCACACCCTACCTGTACAAGGGACAGTCATGATAGCCCTTCCTATACCCTACCTGTACAAGTGACAGTCATGGTTGGCCTTCCTATACCCTACCTGTACAAGGGACAGTCATGGTTCGCCTTCCTACACCCTACCTGCACAAGGGACAGTCATGGTTGGCCTTCCTATACCCTACCTGTACAAGGGACAGTCATGATAGCCCTTCCTATACCCTACCTGTACAAGGGACAGTCATGATAGCCCTTCCTACACCCTACCTGTACAAGGGACAGTCATGGTTGGCCTTCCTATACCCTACCTGTACAAGGGACAGTCATGATAGCCCTTCCTACACCCTACCTGTACAAGTGACAGTCATGGTTGGCCTTCCTATACCCTACCTGTACAAGGGACAGTCATGGTTGGCCTTCCTACACCCTACCTGTACAAGGGACAGTCATGGTTTGTCTTCTAGGTCCTACCTGTCTAAAGAAGAGCCTGGTTTTTCTTCCATTGTCCTACCTGTATAAAGTAGAGCCATGGTTTGTCTTCCATTGTCCTACCTGTATAAAGTAGAGCCATGGTTTGTCTTCCATTGTCCTACCTGTATAAAGTAGAGCCATGGTTTGTCTTCCATTGTCCTACCTGTATAAATTAGAGCCATGGTTTGTCTCCCATTGTCCTACCTGTATAAAGTAGAGCCACGGTTTGTCTTCCATTGTCCTACCTGTAAAAAGTAGAGCCATGGTTTGTCTTCCATTGTCCTACCTGTATAAAGTAGAGCCATGGTTTGTCTTCCATTGTCCTACCTGTATAAAGTAGAGCCATGGTTTGTCTTCCATTGTCCTACCTATATAAAGTAGAGCCATGGTTTGTCTTCCATTGTCCTACCTGTATAAAGTAGAGCCATGGTTTGTCTTCCATTGTCCTACCTGTATAAAGTAGAGCCATTGTTTGTCTTCCATTGTCCTACCTGTATAAAGTAGAGCCATGGTTTGTCTTCTAGGTCCTACCTGTCTAAAGAAGAGCCCGGTTTGTCTTCCATTGTCCTACCTGTATAAAGTAGAGCCATGGTTTGTCTTCCATTGTCCTACCTGTATAAAGTAGAGCCATGGTTTGTCTTCCATTGTCCTACCTGTATAAAGTAGAGCCATGGTTTGTCTTCCATTGTCCTACCTGTATAAAGTAGAGCCATGGTTTGTCTTCCATTGTCCTACCTGTATAAAGTAGAGCCATTGTTTGTCTTCCATTGTCCTACCTGTATAAAGTAGAGCCATTGTTTGTCTTCCATTGTCCTACCTGTATAAAGTAGAGCCATGGTTTGTCTTCCATCGTCCTACCTGTATAAAGAAGAGCCACGGTTTGTTTTCCATCGTCCTACCTGTATAAAGAAGAGCCACGGTTTGTTTTCCATTGTCCTACCTGTATAAAGAAGAGCCGTGGTTTCCCTTCAAGTTCTGGGCAGTAGTCATCCCTGAATAGGTCTATCAGAGATTCAGTTGGAACCAAAACCCCATCAACTCCAAAAACAACGTCCTGACACTTCACCACATCATATGGAGGTGCTTTTGGTTTCACCTCTATGGAATCACCATGTGACAGGATGGCGCAGGTGAAACAGTCCGCTTTGGTGTGGTCATACTTTAGGTTGGCAGCAACTGAAACCAAAACTTGCTATATAAAATGAGACTAAAAATGTACTTTCAGAGCAAAGAATGTTTTTCACATATATCTTGACTCATAGTAATAGCTTATCTAAAATTTTATAATGGATATGATGAATATATTTTCGATTATTATAATCCATGAAAAAATGTGTTGATAAAGTTGATGATTTAGACATTATGGTTTAGATTCAATTTCAGTTCAATTCAATTTCTTTATTCCATCAAACCACCATCTGTGCTACGGGAACACCATTTTACAGTATGAATATTTCATAGGTAACATGTGATCACTTAGGTAAATAAATATATTACAATTTGATGGTTTCATTTACAATAGAGAAATAGAGAAAGTGACTTCTCAACTGGATTGGTCATGTGGGCCTAGGTAAGATGTTTTTCAGTTCTTTGGGAACACAGCATAGGGTGTTTCCACTACATTTCGGGAGAATGAGAGATAACTACTTAGTATGAGTCAGGAGAAATTTTTTTTTATCATGCATTAGCTTCTAAAGAGGGATAATACGTGATGTTTAATTTTTACAATACTTGACTGTTGAGAAGGATATCAGCTTCGGGACTATCAATGAAATTAATGAAAATATTGTCTTGGTTTGAAAAAAATAATCAGGATATCAAATTTTACATTCCAAGTTTACACAAATCACTGATTGTCAAATGGAATATGATCCAGTCTGACATTATTACTCAAGTATTTATAACAGTGGACATTGATTACCAAGGTTAACCCCGATCCTCAGCATTATTAAAGCTACATGATGGCAGTATTGAATACTCAAGCACTGACCAGACAATCCAGTGACTGACATCATGAACATCAATCTATGCAACTACAAGGCATCTGCGGATCAAACCATTGACCTGTCTACTCTTCGGACCAATCTATCCACTAGAGGGGGTTACACGCTGAGAGATATAATTTTATAACATTATCAAATTCCCATAGATTTGCCATATCATATCTCACATGTACAATACTAGGGATAGTGTAGTCAAGATATTTTGTTTTTTTATTCTTACTTTTCTTAAGCTTTAAAACCATTTGTTCTCCAGTCAGATCAGTGTAGGATTTCACTTTAAAACCCATTTGTTTGAAGACAACTTTCAGATCCGTAGCATCATAGGATGATCCAGGTCGCTTGTTCAACCCAGATTTGGAATGGAATGTCTCATTATTGATGATGACTGCCAGACCCCGTTGTGGGTACGAGAAGTCGTACTCATCCTCATGTTGTGCTGGTCTTCTGGACTGAGTTGACATACGTCTTCTGTCTTGCCGAGGTTGCCTGTTCCTGAAGTAGAGTCATGGATGAGTCTCGGATGAGTCTCTAGCTTATAGCATCTTCATGATACTCATCTTGTATTTGTGAATGAAAAATTTGAACACTGAGTGTTTCACTTGACCATCTTGAACCTGATCGATGTAATATCAGAATACCAACACCATTCGTGTCTTTTGACACTGCGTAGATTAAACACAACTGGATATTTATGTCAGTTGCCCATATTCAAATACTAACAAAGCTGAATGGATCCTCTATTATTTCAAATAGTGAAAACCTTTTTATGTTGATTTCAACTCAGCAACACATTAACTATATTACAGAAGACAGTAAATAGCTGTGTCTAAACAACTCAGCAACACCCTAACTGTATTACAGAAGACAGTAAATAGCTGTGTCTAAACAACTCAGCAACACCCTAAATATATTACAGAAGACAGTAAATAGCTGTGTCTAAACAACTCAGCAACACCCTAACTATATTACAGAAGACAGTAAATAGCTGTGTCTAAACCAGAAAAACTAGTGATTAATATTATGAGCAACATTCAATGTGTTCAGCAGATAGAATTAATCAATGCAGGCCCAAAGCTCCACCACCAGATTACCAAGGGGGGCATTCAGTTTGTACATCATCACTCTGGTCACTCAAGAATTATTCTACTCCATGAAATCCCACATCATGGACATGAGAGTATGAAGACCATCAGTGATGATAAAAACCAGGCAATAACACAGTCTCTTTGGTATTTTCAGATAAAACATAACAATAAATTATTAAAACTGAGAGTTATGCAAGTAGAGTGAGTAAGTATGGCTCTACGCCGCTTTTAGCAATGTTCCAGCAATATCATGGCAGGGGACACCAGAAATGGGCTCCATACATTGCACCCATGTGGGGCATCGAACCCATGTCAACGGCGTGACACTAGGCTACCCCACCACCCCTATGCATGTAGAAATTCACTTAAAAATTCTGTACGTTTCCATTTAGTAAAGGCAGCTTATTGTCAATAATGTGAGAATGCTTCCATCAATCGGTGAGACAATGAATGTCAACAAACTGACGTTACTTACCCAACAATTTTATTGAAAATCTGTGTGAATGGAAAGATGTCTACATCTGAAAACAAGGGAGAAATGTCTCATGTTACATGTTTAACAATCACATGCAATAAACAACATCATACTGCTTGAACAGTCAGCAAACATCGCACACAGTACACGAACAGAACAAGACATAAGGACTAAACATTAAAACATCAAGTATTCTGTTGGATGAGGCCAGTGAGTGGTTGAGTGAGTGGTTGAGTGGTTGAGCCATTGAGTGAGTGAGTGAGGTGAGGTGAAATTGGGTTTTACGTCGTGCTTGAGAATATTTCGCTCATATGACGACGTGCATGCGTGTGTATATGTATGTGCGGCTGCTTGTACTAGCCCAGATTTAAGCTGGTTTTATAGTGCTAGCCCACTGAGATACCATGCCGCGGTGAAGCATGAATACCCTACTCAGACACATTATACTGACTCCGAGCCGACCAGTCCTTGTTGTACTCATTAATGCCGAGCGCCAGACAGGGACCAACAAGTACCATATTTGAACGTCTTTTGGTATGACGCGGTCGGGGATTGAACCCGCACCCTTACGCTCACCGGGCGGACGCTCTAACCCCTACACCACGGAGGTGGTCGAGTGAGTGAGTGAGTGAGTGAGACTGAACACAGTAACCACTAGGCTACCCCAATGAACCCATGACACACTAAGCATACTAACATGATTTTCAAACAGTCTATTCATCACATGTTGAAGTTTCATGTAAGAACAGACTTTCAGTTTGTGTGGGTTCATTTTCAAACAGTGAGGGCTAAAACTGTGTGAATGTTGCAGCTAATGACAGAGTTTTATACAAAATGTCACTTAGTCCTTTGACTTCACGTTCACACTGAGAGCACAACAACCATCTGTATTGTGGAATAGTTCCTCAACAGGAGAGGTGACATGAGCTTATGCATGCTGATAATGTTATAAATACATCAGCATCATTTGTAGTTTGGCTACAACAGAGATATGTAAAATATATCATCATTAAATGAGAATGTTCTGCAGAACTACTTCAGAAAGACAGTCACAGTGACAGCCCAACGAAATACATATACCTCAACTACATCAACACCACCATCTATGTTATCAGCGAGACTTCCAACGATGTCAGAGAACATGTGGTGAGAACAAGTGTTATTCAACAACAATCAACCGACCAATCTTTGAAAGGCGATTATAATGATGAGTCAAATACACACTAGGGTAAATTCATCTACTGCTGAAGATTGGCACAAACAGTCTAGACACTGACTAGACTTGTTGTTTTGTTTGTTGTTTAACGCCTCACTCAGCAATATTCCAGCTAAGTCTGTAAATAATAGAGTCTGGACCCGAGAATACAGTGATCAACAGCATGAGCATTGATCTGTGCAATTGGGATACGATGACATGTGTCAACCAAGTCAGCCAGCCTGACCACCTGATCCTGTTAGTCGCCTCTTGCGACAAGCATAGGTTGCCAAAGGCCACTTCTAAAAGGGATCTTCATGGGTCTTACGATAATAGAAAGAATTTAAGGTTATTTAGATGAGTCGTTTCCCCTATATCAGGATACATTGACTGCATACCATCAGATACACCTGGCAGCAGGTCTCCCTCCGTCACCTCCTCATCTCCAGAACAATCAGACTCCGAACCTTCAAAGAAAAGAAAACTTTAGGAATTCGTAGAAATTTAATCATGTTAAGGTTATCGCCACACATGATTTTTGGGATAAACATAACCATGGATTGATTAATTAATTTCTTAAATTTCATACACATACTAGTAATCAATTCTCAATACAATAAAATTAGATCAGATACACAAATATATGAAATTTGTTTACACCATGTAGAGTCTGTAAACACCTAAAATTTAATTCATCATTCACTGTCAGGTTTCTCAGTAAGATAAAGCTAACAGACATTAACAGCATCTGTTGAAGTCATCTGGTCACCTACAATAAATATGTGATATAACGTTGAGGTAGGTAGTCCTTTTGCATACTGGTTCATAACAATAATAATGTGTGTGAATTTATAATAAACCTTTTCCATGTACAAAGCACATACTCAGAGATGCCAACCCATACGATTTTATTGTATTCGTTACAAAAAAACAACACAAAATACACAACTACGATAGCAGTAAAATAAAACACATTTTAAAAATAATACATTAAATTAAATTATCATATAGCATACGTTAGGGATGGGACGATTCACCGATGCATCGATACATCGTGATACATTTAAGTTTGACACAGCTATCGTATCGTGGACTGGTGTATCGATACAAAACCATACACAACCATTTTTCAAAACAGCTATATCTTAAACATGTTAAAGTACTTATTTAGAAAAAAATATGCACGTATGATAGAGTTACTTGCTGGGTTATTACAACAGTGTTATTGTTATACACAAATACCTTGAAATAAATCATTTTAAATCATTAATACTGTGCCATTCTTTCAAGGTGTACGTATCGTGATATGTATCGTATCGCAGGTAAAATATTGTGATACGTATCATATCATGACATAGTGTATCGTCCCAGCCCTAGCATACATACCATACACAATAAATTTCAACCTCATTTTATTCAGTATCAAGCTATATGTGGATACTTACTGATGATTAGGTGAGTACAATGTTAATAACAAGGTCTTAGACTATATATTTACATTTTTATGTGATATGAAAATTCTTTGAAAAAGTTCATACTAATATTGGCCAAAAAATACTAATTCTTGCATCTGTGTTTGGCCAAAATACTATTTGGGCTAAATTAAGGTTGGCATCTCTGCATACACAAAAGCACAACACAATCAGGCTAGCTATTCCTGAAACGATCGTAGACCTACAAACTTCTTAAGCCCATTCTTAACAAAGTGGCTACAATCAAAGTTAAAGGTTACATGAAACCAAAACATCAAACATAAATAAAACACAATTATCACTTATTCATGACATATAATATACATTGCTGGTTACGAAATAATATATAAACAAAATTATAAGGGTACAATCGCAAATCGAAAGTGCAAAATTGTGTACTTCGGTTTACTTCCCAAGAAACGAAGCAGCCGGGATACCGAACCCAGTCAGAGCGGGTGGGTGTGCACTCAAGTGTAACGGCTGGTTCATTTGCAGATGCCCTCACGGCTAATTGTGTGTATATATAGAGACAGATGTTGGGTTTTGTAAATACATGCTCATTTTTTGTGTATAACATTTTGCAATCAACAGACATCATAACATGTCATGTGTTCAACTATCACACCTGCCTGTCTGTGTAATTACATAATGTGACAGAGACCGAACTCAGGCCATAAATCAATGCATTTTGTTAATGGTGTATAGCCTGATTGGTGTTAAGTTCAAATTGCATGTGGTCAGTGATAGCAGCTGTGTATTGAATATTGTCATTAGCAGACAGGCAGGCAGACACACAGGTGTCAATAAAACAAGACACTGAGTTTTGTCTGTGACAACGACATATCTATATCACAGGCAGAAATTCTGTCAACGCTAAATAATGACATTGCTTTTAAGCATCGAACTGAAAAGTGTCTCCGGTAAGAAGAGCGTGTGGTGAAATAGACAAATGAAATTATATAAACAGTTAATTTACTGTCATAACATATAAAAGCTGGCCAGCCACTGTGAGATATCAACAAAACATTAGAAAAATAGCCCACACCAAAGCCTTCACCGGTATTCACCCGACAACCTGCTTCCAACCTCGTGAACCTATTCACTTTAGCGCGCGTGCAATGAGCGCAGCCCAGCTGTTGAAACCCGTTTTCCCCAGAAAAGTCTGGGGAAAAGTTAGTGAAACGTTTGAACTCCGATTTCGCGCGGTTTTTTTCATCGCGTTATTTTTCAACTTTATAAGTAGAATTTGCATTTTTGACGATTTGTTTCGGTATGTCCATACCGAAAGGTATCAGAATCTGCAAAGTTGTGTTTTACGTTGCATGTGACCTTTAAGAATTATTATCACCCCGGATAACCCACACTTCCTGTGAGGTGCAAGAAGGTTATTAGTCACATGACTTATCCCACTGGGTACCCATTTTTCTGCTAGCTGAACAAAGGCAATTTTGAACAAATTCACTTGTATCACATGTGCTCATCATGGTAATGAGCAGTATACAACTCAATTTAAACATGTCAAAATATGATAAAGAGGTTATCCCCAGAGTGTTTTTGTGGTGGTAATACAAATAACAGTATGTATTTTATTTCATGTTCAATATTCCTAATAACGATAAATATTTTAAAGGCTCCTAATATGAAATATATTCCACATTCAAACATGTGATATGTAATTCAGATATATGTTCAAGAAATTTCAAGAATTTTATGTTAACTAGGTCTTATGTTTGAAAATGTCAGGAAATGTATTCATAATATTGTGTAAACAACAGTGAATCACCAACATGTGTGAAATATTGTTTCTTTTTTGATGAAACCTCAACATACTCCCCGGACATGCTCATGCAGTTGGTCTATCAAGATGCAGACACTGTTTCAACAGTAGGTGAGGTGAGGTTAAATTGGGTTTTACGTCGTGCTTGAGAATATTTCGCTCATATGACGACGTTCAACAGTAGGAGTAAACCTTGTTTGTTTTTGGTAACCTGATACTTTCTGTGGATAGCTCCACATCCCAAGAATTTCTGGAGGGTGGGAGGCGTCACACTAATTACTGGATAACACATTTACTGCTGCTGAAAGATCCAATAAGACAGGGACTTTTCTAGTATTGGCCCAGGACTAAAAAGTTTGAGATCATCCATACTCTTTTCAGTGTTTTGTGCTAAAATGTATCACTGGGGAGTGTTAAGATGTGTGTGAGGCGGTGGGGTAGCCTAGTGGTTAAAGCGTTGGCTCGTCACGCCGAACACCCGGGTTCGATTCCCCACAAGGGCACAATGTGTTAAGCGTATTTCTGGTGTCCCCCGCCGTGATATTGCTGGAATATTGCTAAAAGCGGCGTAAAACTACACTCAGTCAGTCAGTCAGTCAGTTAAGAATTGTGCCAGATTATCAGCAGGCTAAAGGCTAAAGGTTCATGATCAGCCCCCCTGTCAATCTGATGCACCTGAACAATTTCTGGACAAAGAAACTACTGACTTGCATCTTGTTCCTGTGTTGCATCTTGGGATAGGTCAAGGGACATTGGCAACGGCAAGGAGTCCATGTTGACATCATCAGTCCCACTCATTGTGAGAGACTTCAGCTGGTTTATACTTAACAAAAAGATAAAACCTAGAAAAGAACATGTGAAAATATATTCAAGATTGATAAAAAGATTAGAACTACGAGGAATGTCATGAGTCAGCATATCTACCACATTTGTAAACTATAAGGTGTCCAGATGAGTGTCACAATAACAAAGTCAAACACAGGAATCATAAAGAGCACGCAAAGTGATTGCAATTTTGGTTTGATAGTTAATTTTTTTCAATATATTTATTCAATTTCCGAGATTTCTACAATATTTGTAGAAAGTATTTAAATGTCCAAGTGAAAGTGCTGAAACCAAATTCTCCATTTTGGCTTCCAAAGACAAACTTATAACCAAAAGATCCTATTTGGGACATTTCTAAGAACAGAAGTTTGACCATATCGTTTCTTGTCTGTAATTCAATTTAGACCCCAAATTATACCAAGTAATTAACATGTTCACTTACTCTTTGAGAATTTTTGTAAAAGATTTTTATTAAGAACACAGCACTCAGTTTAACAAAGTCACAATTATAAAATAAATATGCCTAAATATTATGAAGCTAATTGCCCTACTACCCAGAGTTCCTTCTGGCCAAACTAGTTCACTGTCACATTGTCAAATCACATACAATCCGTTTATGTGGTTTTCATCTGTTTCACTAAGGTTGAATCTACACATTTAGATAAACATGTCATGAAATGTTTGATCTTCCATGAGAAAACATCCTTAAATGTCAAACATTATTTGTATTTGTGCATTTATCCTCCACATGCTGTGATCTCGGCTCTGAGGAGGGTTAGTGATATAGCTGTCACTATGATGTGTAAAGCTATATTGCCATGCATGCTGCTGTCGCACTTGTACAAGCTGGTCAGGTGATAAGCCTAAATCTGTGTTGAGATAATTGGATCAGAAACTTTTCTCGCTGAATAGGCGTGTTATCAGCAATTGTTTACAAACAACATTGTATGCTATTTCCATTTTGAAATTGCAAGCTCTGGTCAAGCCTGAACAGTAGTTCTGATGTTCACAATACACATGGACATTGTCAGCGTATTATTAGATTTGAATACACAATGCCAATTAGAAAGAGCTCAAATGTAACAGTTCTATTTGGGATTAGACATCTAACCCACTCTGCCACCTTTGTGAACTGGCGACTAGGTGCCTGACTCTGAGGGTGTGGGAACACATCCTAGAGGGGTGAGTATGTTCAACAGTGAAGTCCAGGTCCTGACTCACTGAACTGGCTGATGACTTCTTCAGGCCTGCGTCATATGCATATATGTTGTCAATGATGGTGCCACTTGCCGTTTACACGAGAGCCGCGATGCGGTCCTACAGTCAAGTATTTTTTATACCCTGCATCTAGTTCAGCCAGCTAAACGTCGTGTTCCTACCAAGGTATACACCGACGTTGGTGTATACCTTGGTAGGAACACGACGTTTAAGCTGGCTGGACTACCTGCATCTTGACTGTACATATAGGACCGCATCGCGCATCTCGGCTACTTGCCGTTTGACCATGACCAAACACGTGCAATACATACGTCTTGCCATGACCTAGTCGTGATCGGGTGCCCCTGACCGATCTTCACTATGAATATGACATCGTACGATTCGTAGGCGATACCGGCAGTGACTAAATTATCGTCGCTCCTTTGCTCACGACAATATAATGATACTGAAAGTACAAATCTTTATCAGTGTACGTACGTAAAACTTACATGATAACCTATTTACCCACAGTGATAAGTGCGTTGATTGTCGATGATTAAATCTGTCGCAAAACCCCCGTTCACCGTTGTCTTTCCCGGCGTTTCCGTGTTTGGGCGTTTTGCAAGGGAGGTTACTCTCACATTTTTAGTATGCATACCGCGACACAATTGTTGTTGAACAAGATCCTTTTCTTAATCGTGAACTGGAACACCAGATTCGCACTAAATATAAACAGTGGTTTGTCAGCACAATTGCTGTTTTCTTTGGTTTCAACAGAATTGTCTATGACCTGCATCACAGAGAGATTCTATATTCTTCTTGATGAAGATTCATGAGATTTCCATCAATCGGACACGCTGTGAACAGGGCCCCGTTTCACATAGCTCTCGTAAGCTTACGAGAGATTTGTGAAACGGGGCTCTGTTAGTTTCATCAGCTTCAGCATCACATGCGTGAGGTGGAGAGAAATGTGGTCTAGCGTCGCTTTCAATGTTATTTCACTTATATGTCATTCTGCATGCATGCAGCAACCCATGGATGCTTGACGTTTAAGAGAAAACGGGTCGGGTCGTACATAACGGGATCAGGTGGATAGGCTCGCTTGCTTGGTTTACACATGTCACCGTATCCCTATTGCTTAGATGGATGCTCATGACGTTGATCAATGGATTGTCCGGTCCCAACTCCATTATATACAGACCGCCGCCATATAGCTGGAATACTGGTGAGTGCGGCTTTAAACAACAAACAAACAAAACCGTGACTGTACGTGTTCGTGAACGCGTTCGTGAACAAAAAGTCCGGACTAATTATGCAGTTTTATAGTGTCTTGCTCCAAAGCTGCACTGAAGGCTAAGCCCATGGATGTATAGTAATTCTATCCTGAAAGAGGCAAGTCTAGAAGGACGCCGGCGCGGCCTGTTAGAAGGATATTTATATAAATCTTTTTAGAAATTATCATTGAAACTATAAAATATTACCTTAGAGACTTGTGAAAGTCTTGCTGCCACGTATGGTTAGATAAGCCCCTCGGGTTGGCAACAAGTACCACATACCTTTAAATGTCATTTGCTATGATGCTGCCGGGTCTCAAACGGTGTCGGCCCGGGAAAGCTAAATTTCAATTTTCCCTATTCCCGCAAGAGCTAAAAGTAAAATATAAGAAAACATCGGATTACCGTACTCTAGATTAGCGTAGTTGAGTAGTCAGTGTTGTTTCTTAACCATACATTAGCTTGATGACTCCTGTCGACCAGACTATTTTTATTATGGAATGTGATAACCTAGTATATTCCTTAGCTGCTTCAGTGTTACTTATGTTTAAAAGAAGAAAATTATTATAACATATGATATTACACCATCCATCTTATCTCTTAGTTTTACTATGTGTGTATAGAGATATATTTTATCTATGCATTGTTTTATGGATTTTATGTGTCTCGTAGGCCTGTAAAGGCCGGGCAGATGTTTCATATGTGATATAGAATATTTTATATATTATGTAAACATCTGCGTGACACAATAATAAAATAATTTCTCTCTCTCTCTCATTACATACATTACATCATACCTTAGAGTAGTGAATCCTGTTCACTTGTTTCTTGGAAAAGTAAAAACACCAAGAGTAGTCGCTATAATTATATTACAATAGATAAAAGAAGCAAGCTACAATAAATTTAAAATTAAGGAAATTATATTAGAATAGATAAAAGAAAATAAGCTGATGTAAAATAAGCTTTCCCGGGCCAAAACCCCTCAAAGCACCTGGTACATTTCACTCTCTATGCAGACGGTCTACCCATTAGACCACAGAGGCTGCATGTCGCCGCTGTATTGGAATTATGTTGTTTATTTTCAGTTTCTTTGTCACTTTTCTACATTTTATGTAATGCAATCTCATGGTCTAAATTCCAGTCAGACAATTCAAATAGCTGTATATTCTTGCGTGCGTAAGTGAGTATTGTTTTACGCCGCTTTTAGCAATATTCCAGCAATATCGCGTCGAGGGAGACCAGAAATGGGCTTCACACATTGTACCCATGTGGGGAATCGAACCCGGGTCTTCGGCGTGTTGATCGAACGCTTTAACCACTAGGCTACCCCACCGCCCCTATCATATTCATGCGAAACGCAGCGACGAAAAGATCTACTAGTATCTGTAAAAACCGATCATGTGTAATGATCATGTATAATAGGTTTCTCGGTATGACCGTGATGTCGTTATCGTATGGGAAAATGACAGTTGGCTTGTATGTGTGCACGCAAAAGGCCAATATATACAGGGCCTGGCAAAGTTAACTTTACCCGAACACTGGACTTCACCCAAACATTACAAAACGTTACTTGGCTAAAACAGTCGCCTGTATACTAAACGCCTCAAATGTTCACATCACCATTGAAAAAACAAATACCTTGTTTTCTTCCATCATCACAGCTTATATAATTAACCATGACGGGAATGACTTGTGTGATAGGCGCAGAGATAAACAATCGATTATAAATCTTCCTATTTAAGAAAATAGTTACGTAATAAACTGAATTGATATTTTCTTAAACATGTAATTTTAATGACATGAAACGTTACATAAATTAACGTCACTAGTGAGTGAGTATGGTTTTACAGCGCTTTTAGTAATGTTCCAACAATATCACGGCGGGGCACACCAGAAATGAGCTTCACACATTCTGCCTATGTGGGGAATCGAACCCGGGTCTTCGGCGTGACGTGCGAACGCATTAACCACTAGGCTACCCCACCGCCCCTAATGTCACTAACACACATCTGTATGAACAAGTATTGGCCATAGTCTTGAAATACAAATAAAACATACGTATTTTTATCAGTACATACACATGCTATATCTTCTACATCTGTTCCTTTCAAATGATTCATGAAATGGCGGTCCATCTGCCAATATACAGGAATCTGAAATAGAATTATTTCATTGTAACAAGGCCTTTTATATTTCTCTGTAATGTGTTTTTAGGTTTGGCAATTAAAGTTAAAGTCTTAGAACAGCATTCAGAAGTGATACACAAAAAGTCGTGAATTGATGGATATCAGCTTCTTCATTTGAGGGACAAAATTTCGGAAATGTCGTGTCCCTCAAAATAAAGAAGTTGACATCCATAAATTCTCACCTTTAATTAAAATTACGTTCAGATCAATTTATTTCTTCTAAGGATTAAGAAACTAAGAAAGTGAAATTATTGCTCGGTAAAATATGTATTTGGAAAACACTGCCACCATATTATTTCTTTGATTGTTTTGGTCTGCATCAGCTATTCAGAACCTTATCGTTTTCCAATCAAACTTGTTTTTGCAGATTTTTTTTATTTTACATGCTTAGCATATTTATTGTTTAACAAATTAACATACTTATTGTCCTGTACCTTCGTGACAGTGTTAAATAACACGCGAAATTTAGACACTACCTTGAACTTTTATACAGCAATGGAATAAACCAGATATTTGTGTTGTTCAAGAAAGAAACAAATATTAATAAGATCAGCAGCACCGAGGACAGAGCTAATGTCCTCATCATGATCATTTTGTGTCACCTGCATGTAAAATCATCGAAGAAAGATTTGATGAAAGTGCGAAATGCACAGAGAAACTATGTGTTGACCTTGAAATTACACATTAATTGTCTTGAAGACAATCCCTTGGTTAACCTCAGTAACAATATCGCCCAAAGAACTTTCTCAGATAAACGGAAGAGCGCCCGTTTGATCGAACTAGTACTATCATGTGTTTTTGGTATATGTTGGTTCTACTGTTTTAACTTAAACGTCCCTAAACATCTAAAAGAGTTGTCAGTAAGGTCCATTCTTTATAAGTTTCAAATATATTTCGCTTACCATAGAGTTTGGTGACTTAAATTGACGCTGAAAAGCAATCATTGAACCATAATTTCATGGAACGGTGTTCCCGGCTTTATCAGCTCAGCATAAAAACAGTTTCCGAAACGTATCGAATACCCATAAAAGTAGCGGACAGTTCGTCAGCGACATGATCCTTGGTCGTGATGTCCACTATGCTGCTCCTCCTGGTCAATGTCTTCTCTCTGGCAGCCGTCAAGGCTCAAGTCAAACCGTGCTGCAGTGACGCCAAATGGTCAGCCACGATGATCGACGTTGGCGCGCTCTCCCAAGGGAACAGTGTAGGTTTACTATAGCCACATCTTTAGTTGTACGTCTAGGTGTGTTGTGTCAAACGTAATGCAAATGTACTCTTCTTTTGGACAAGATCTTTTTGTGATCAAGACACGTTCATCTGAAACTTTCATGCATGTATGTTGTGATTGGTGTCACCGGTGTGGCAGGATACCCACAGGTGTTTGCGAACACCTGGTGTCATGACTATTTCATAGTGATTCATCAACAAATGAAAATATGAAACAGTGGGCAGTTTAAAATGCAGTGTGCCTTTCGAAGATATTCATTTATTATCAAGGAAAGGAGGTTATTACAATTATTCATTCCAATCTCAAGATGGCAGCTTCTTAACATGTGATACAGATTAACTTCCGTTCCATGATGTGAAGTTATTGTGTATTTTATTTTAATATATCCAGTCAAAGCTTTAAGGCCAAACAATGATCCCTCTTGACTATCCTTGGAAACCGATTGTATTGATAATGTAAGGCAAAACAATGATAATAGCAGGTGCTCGCGAATTGATAAACATGTCCTGCCCTAAAGGTACTAAATTGATTTTGTATAACTTCTACAACAAAATTATCAGTCTCCGATACAGAAATTTTATCATTGTCACGGTAGTTTTAACTCCAGGCCAAACAGAATAAAAGACGCAGTATGTGTTATATTTGGGATCATTTGAGTCCCTCTCCTGTGTTATCTCTTTCAGGTAAAGGCTGACTTCTACTATGACTACACCAACAGAGCCACTGCTGTCCAGTACTATCAGCCCGGATCCCAAGTGAAGGCAAACAGAGTGGTCACGTTGTACGGACAGGTAACACCATGCATTTGTCCATCGGGAATTTGTCATTGGGGAGTAAACGTAATTCTGTGTTTCAGAAGCCGTACCATAAGGACCATTTTACAGTTTTCATATCTCGTGAACCTGCAGAACAAATGTTGAGTCGTTATCGCCTACATTCTCTGCCCACTGTGTTTTTTCTTTTATTCTTTTTTTCGCTAATCATTCAGTCATCTACAAGCGCGATATAGTTCCTACCGTTGATTCGGGTTTCAACAAGAAACCAACCAACAGCACCCCCGTGTCCAATTAACAGTTCAAACAGAATAGAATGGTCTACGTGTCTTTCTTGACCCTATCCAAAAAGACCCAAACCAGAAAGCCAAAAGGCCGGGCAGGACAACTTAGGAATGGCCAGCCAGTCCTAACTTGACACCCAGAAGGAAGCATGCTACAAAAACATTTTTTATATCATTGGAAAGATCTCAAGGAGATGAATCCAAAATATAATGTGCAAGTGTCAGATGTATAATCCTTCAAACCATATTAAGCAGAGCCTTCATTATTGTACACACAACACACCTTAAAATTATCAAAATGAATTGCTCTTTGTGAGATTTTACTTTGAAATTATCTAATTGCAGTGTGCAAGTAGATGTGACTTTCAAAAATGTAACAGCCTTTTCATGAGGCCAGCCAAATATAAGAATACTTGGTGAAATCCAACAATTCAATCAAGATGAGATATACTATCATAGAAAACAGTGGGAAAATAACACAAACAAGGTCATATAACATAACTGCATGTATTGTTTCATAAATGCCATACACCACATTACAGTTACACATGCTGTACATATACAAATATATATATATATATATATATATATATATTCAAAACAGAAAAACATACACTTTGGTGTATTTTGGTTTTGTTTATGGCAGTCTGGTTGTAACAAAAAAATAAATTTAACGCTTTGACAAATTATAACAAGAATAACATGTAAATAATGAAACTTATATATCATAGGTGAGGGACATACCACCTAAAAACTACAAAGATTTCTTGTGCAGATGTCGGTATTATTGTGACATCTTCAAAATAAGTTTCAACCAACACAAATTTCTCAGTTATTTCATCATTATTCTAGATCTGAATATCCAAAGAAGATTATAGCAAATGTTTAATGTCATCGAAAGAATGGATGAAAGTAGAATTGTATCTGTGACAATTTTGACAATACTGTGTTACAAGAGAGACCTATGAGATGTTTATATCTTAAAACTAAATAACTTTTTGTGATAATTAGTTCTTTCAAGTTGCATTCAAACCATTACATCTATCACATATTCAATTTATACCTCAATTATAACACAATTTGATCAAAAGTACATCAAAACACATGATAATTCCAAGAAAAGAAGGAATTTTCTAACCATGACAGGGGACCATTATGTTTTGTACCTATTGTTACCTAGACAGGGATATTTACAAGGAGAATAATCAATATCAGACTTAATAACTATTCCAACAAGAACCATCAGAAGATGACACAATCCCCCCGGCCACCACATATTTGAAAGAACAAATCATCTGCCAGTTACTTAAAGTCCAACTTGATATTTTTTTAGACTAAGTGCACATCGCTTCCATGGAAATCATGAAAAATATAAATGCCAAAAATCTGCAAATAGCAAAAGGCACCACTTCAAGATCTGTTTGATATGTCTGCCAAGTCTTGCAGAAAGATAATGAAATGTTTTCAAGTTGAAACCCACCCCTCCCTTATGAAACTAACTCTGAATCGTTTCCATGGAGCCAGGAAAAATAAAAATGCCAAAAATCTGCAAATAGCTATGTCTGTATGTCTCATACATCTGCTAAGCTCTGCTGAAAGATATTGAAAAGTTTTCTACTTGTGACATAGAAACGAAACCCACCCCTCCTTTTTGAGACAAAATCCAAAATTGTTTCCAAAATCTACTTCAATTTAATTTGTGCAAGCGATTGACAGTGAGGCATAAGCAAATTTAGCTCTGTGATTATACAAAGAAAATGTTCAGTGCATATATATACATCGCATATACATATTTACATCAGTGTTACAATCAGGCCACCATCTCAGAGTTCCGCTGAGGCTTGTCTTCTGTGCTTTGTAAGTGATACCTGTAAAAGGAAAAGGAAAGGATAATAAGAACTGACATACAAAGATAAGTGAAAAACAGTAACAGCTTAAATCGGTATTCATCTTGATGTCTGGATGTTTTATACATTCAATGCTCTCTAACACTGGATAACAGATGACAATATAATATTTTGTTAACAATTGGAACTCAATGAAAATACCTTTGATTGCCTCCGCATTTTTTTCATTGCTTCGCTCTATTGCCTCTTGTACATTTCTTGGAAGGGTGTTCTCTTCCCTTGGGGCAGGCATGAAGGGCTTGAAGTCAGACAGCTTGATGGCCAGGTGTGAATGTCCCCATCTTTCTAATGTAGGACACCCACCACAAGCCTTCCTCTTCAGACAGCCTGGTAGATGACACCCATTTGCCCAAGTCTTTCCCCATGGCTTTACAGGTGTCATCTACCTTTTCCTTGTCCAGAGTGACAGGTGTGAGTGTTGACAGGTCAACCTTGAAATCCAATGACACCTTTCTGTAGGTTTCACTTTTCAGAGGCCAATCTTTATAAAGCATGGAGACCGAGGACCCCTCCATTCTGAACACAAACACATGTGCCTCCTTGTGTCCTTTAGGTGAATCACAGTTGATAAACAACTGCCTCATGTCCCAAACACCATCCAGTATAGTAGCAGTGGGCTTTGGATCGTTACTGCTGGCAAGGACTTGCAGGAGAGCATCACGTGTTGCAGCAGGTTTCTGTCTCAGCTCCCTTGCAAACACGCTGAACAGCTGGTCCACATCTTCATGTGTGTGGCCCACCATAAGAAATGAAAGTTTCACCTGGAAAAGAGTATCACTATTAAAACACACATTCAAACTACTCTGACCAATACAATAAATTTCGAATCCAGACACCCTTTGAGGACCAATACTGGTACACACCCCACCCTCACAAGAAGAGCCAATGACTCCTCTACCGTCCCTACCTCAGAAATGTAACACCACTGTCATGCAATTCACCAAACCAACTTCACCAGCTCCAAACAGCGAATATAGATGTTGCCTTAGCAACTCGTTGGCGTTTGGATTAATCTCGTTCCTAAACTCTCACTGAGATAAGATTTTGTCTGATAGCTGCAGTTGACGCGAAAGGAACCAATCTATGGAACCAACCTATGGGACCAATCTATGGAACTAAACTATGGAACCAATCTATGGAGTTCAGGCTTTATCTGGCTCCAACAGTTCACAGAGGAAAAGGAACCTGAGGTTGATATGGTTCATTGCGTTCGTGCCTAACCATCTACTGTATCTACAGTTCATAGACGAATTTCCCAGCTATATGTCCACAGTTAGAAGAGGTATCACCATCTCCATTTCATTGTACAGTGCGTTGTACCTTTTGTACCTTCTTTATGTTTGACGCTTTTATGAACAACGTTGTTTCATGTTATGTACTATATCTCTTAGATGTGTCAGGTAAATGTATGGGTAAATCCCAGTAAATGTGATTTTGATGTTGCAGGGACTACGGTACACAATCAACACTGGCTCATGTACCAGGACGCCCACCACTGACCAGATACTGCCAAACTGCGTCCCGGGTAGGTTCCTACACCAAGGTCACGTGATATCGTCATGACTATAAAATGGAGGCTTATCTTTGCTTTCACTATTATGAAATTTGTATTTATCTGTATTGAGGGACAATCCTCAACTTCTGTTGCCTTATAGGATATTCGTAAAGAGTGTCCCAAGGGACATAACTCTATAGTGTTCGCTTGAAATTATGTTCGGCCGGTAGAAGGTGCGTGAGTCGATTTAATGCAACGTTGCATTAATTCATTAGAACGTTTTAATTTAATATTGCAATCAAAATACGTAATTTTAATGGGGGGAGTTCCCCTGAGGTCTGATAGTTAATATTATGGAGAGAAATGCATTATGTATTTTTAGAGAAATGTGGTGTGACATTGTACCTTTAATATGTTGAATGAAATGTATTTTACGTGAGTAATTATTAAATATTTGGTTGGAAATCTGCGACCACAACCCCTTGAGGAATTGGGTGTCTACCTTTGGTGGTGGCAATACTATATTTTGACATTATAAAAATTTTCGAACCGAAGCGAAGGAAGTACGACAGGGGGTTGTAACGCTTAAAACTACCATCAAGGTACATACTGTGAACGACGGAGTCTCAGTACTTTTAATCTCTTTTACATAGTACTAAGACCCCGTCAGTGGCAGTATATACCTTGATGGCAGTTTTTAGCGTTACGAGCCCCTGTGCTTTAAACTAAATAAATACCGGCTAACTTAGTAACTTACTAGCCCCTGCCAATTTTCCGATCACAGGAAGCTGAATACATCAACCCCAGTTCCGATGCAAATGTCACGTACTTGAAAATATCTGTACACACATTAATTATAAGTCATGCTGATAAAAATGACAGCACTAAATACTTGAAATTGTGATCAACATTAATTACTGGATGGATGTGCTTTTAAAAAACATAAACATCTCACACTATTTCATCCAATCACAGCTATCAGCTCAGGAACCTATAGGAAGAATGGTCATTTTTCTCTCTGCTGCGCAACCCTATTTGCGCTACAGTTTGCCTGTGTGTCAATAGTGTAAGTCACAGCGGTCTCTTTGTCACTCGAAGGTGACACATAAGACTGAAATACTGTTGTACGAGGCTTAGAACCCAAGTCTACAAGCAATATATATACAGTGATATCAATTATTTCCTCCCACACAGGCGAGAATACATACGTTGGATCCAGCTATATTGGCACTGAGACAAGTGGGCTGAAAACTGATACTTGGTTCTTTCGTCTTGGTGCCCTCAACTTTACTGTCAGCTATGCCAACCCTGGATGCGTCCCAACATTCCAGGGGAAAGTCGATACAGTACCGTCACGTGAGTACAGAGTGTGTTAGTTACTGAGAATTTGTTTTATATATCCTTCCAAGGAAATACGTATAAATAGGGTTCATTTTTGTTTATAATGGCAGGGAGACTATATAAGACAATGGCACACCTATAAGAAAGTTCATTATCCATACTGATACAGGCCATGGTGGGTTGATGATGATAATTTTATGGGGGGTTACCAATTTTGTTCTGGGGAGGAAGGGGGTCATCAATTTTGTACATATGCACGGAGGGGTGGGGGGTTGTGTTATTAATTTTTATACATAAAAAATATTTAAAAGTTATGCCTAAAAATTATGGGAAGGGGGGCGGGGTCATTGATTTTGCACATGGTATGTATGGTGTGTGTGGGGGTGGGGAGGGCACTTGCTTTGTACATATATACATATATACTTTTTAGGGGGTCATTCACATTGTACAAGCTTCTCCATAAAAATCATCGTCATTCTCAATTCCCCCTCCCCCTCCTCCCCCTAGTCATAAATTATGTCTCTAAATCAGGCTTCCTATGATGACAACACATAATAACCATATTCCTTTTGTGTTTCAGCTCCAGTAAATACAGGTGTATACTTTAACGGATATGTGTCGCAAATTACGGATCAAGCCGCTTTCGGAATCCCCACCGACTGTCAGTAGCATAGCAACTGCAATCAATGAAGTTCAACTGAGGTTTCCCTGCTTTCTGTTTTATTTTAAAACATTCAAAAATAAATATTAGACCAATATATTATGTCTTTCAAGGTGTTGTATTTGCACATTGTCAGTTGGTGGTGTAATAGGATGACCTGTAGAAACACAGGTGGCTCTGTACAGCTTTTGGGGTTACTCTAGAAAAATAGTGAACAGAGGTGCTCTGTAACAGTAGTACATGATGGTGATGGAGGTCTCATCAACAATAAAGGGTGAACTCTGCATCGACAGATGAACTCTTCAGTAAGCGACTTATATAAGCCTCTGCGTCAATTTTGGTATATGTGATTTTAAAGGGCCACTGATGCACAGCGATTAATGTTTCCAGCCAACAGTCTAATTACGAAACCTATCTGCAAACTGGTCAGCCCCTGCTCCCTCGACCGTGACGGACACGGGGACTTGGCTACTGTACACCTTGGCAGAATGTCTTCAACCTAATCAGTGGGACATTAGGAAGGGTGGATGCCCATCAGATGCCGTCATTTGAAAATATCCCCGGTAGTTCTTGTTTGATTGTAATAAAGTATCCCAGCACTGTAGGCATTTTCAGATTTACAAATGTTTGGATGGTATAGTGACTGATCCAATTTGATCCTATTTCTGTGTTGTTTACCTCGATATTTAATCATGTAAAAATATTATGTCTATTACGTATGCTATGATATCAAAAACACACATTTGATATATTTGAATCCATAAACTAAACAACCCCACTTTGCCATTGCTAAACAGAAATCTGAAATTGTACTTAGGTACATAGGTATATACAGTTTCTAAATAAGTACACAGCAAATGTTTATATATATTTCTTATGTAACAATAAAGTTCGATCCGTTCGTATCGTCAAAACAGTGTCGGCCCATAAGGTTTTTTCAGACAATCAAACTTGCATGCAATACAGCGATTACTACTCTCTTGCTGTAACCCTTGTTTGGTGGTTAATCTACACATGTTATTTGTCATCATTCACTTGGTGGTCAGTTAATGAATTTATAACAGGTATAATTAGTGATAACACCAGCGTACACCACTCAGATTACCCGACAAAGGTTCCCATTTGGCATTTCTTGTGTCTGAAGTAAATACTCATCATTATAAATTAAGGTCTGATGTGGCAAATGTATTACATCTTATGTAATATGCGCATGGAAATGCAAGCAAGAGGAATTATCAGCTGAGTTTCAAAACAACCATCGATCAAAGGATTAACCGATAACACGCTGATTGATTAATTGATTTTATCCTGCACAGCGGATTTGTCAAAAGGTAGTGTTTATGGAGGTGTCAGCCCGATCTGTCGACAAATGAAAAATAGGATGTTGCGACGGAACAAAAAAACCGGAGTGTCGACATCGCGTGCTCAACGGTCTACTCCCATTTGCGAGAACTCCCAGTTGCGAGACTCCCAGTTGTGAGACAGTGGAGAAGGTAAGGAGCAAAGAAAACACACCTTACTCCCCTATCTGATAGAATGGATTAACCCCAGCTAATTAGGGATTAGCTATTTAACTGAATCTTGTGGAGGTAGCTTAAAAGAAAAAGTAATTAACCTACTCAGGTAAATGGCTTTAAAAAATAAACACTTTGTGTAGGTAACTTCGTGATCATTTGAAAGAGAAATTAATTGACCTACTCAGATTTACGTGCTTGAAAAATCTAGCAATAACTGTTGTAACTATAATTAATCCAAATGTATTTATTAACCTGTGACTGCTCTTTCGCAAATGGGAGGACACCTGCTCAACATACCGTGGCGGTGTTAGTTAATGAAAGAGAATGTTTGCTTAGTGATTTGCAAGTGACCATGTTCGTTTCATGAGTAAATGAATTACGTTAATTATAGAGAAAGTCTTTTTAACAATTTGTAAGAGAATTAAGGTTGCAAACAAACTATTATTTTTAAAATACGTTATGCGATTGGAAGGATTACCATTTTGGAGTTTAAAATGCAGAGAGCAGAGAAACAGAGAGCTTACAAATTAGTTTGTGATATTGGGAGTAGAAGGATTATTGAAATGCTGTTAAAAACATTTATTTGGATTCCGTTACTACCACCTGGGTAGAAGGCCCATGGACTCTGCCAAAATGGAATTATTTTGAAAATGATGGACACAGAACAACTAACAATAATTTGGAAAGTTGGCATAACAAAATCAACAAGTATGCCATGAAGACACATCCGAATGTGTTTGAGGTTTATGGATGTAGATTCACTGATCTATACTGAATACACCCTGTCGTAAAGTTTCTTTGTAAAAACAACGTCCTTCCTTCAAAGGATTAACCGCCAAAACCTTGATTGTTAGCTCATTATTGGCTAACTAATGGCGGACATCATGCAATTACTTGCCAGGTGTGCTATCTTGGGTGACCAATGGGAAATACCAATGTGATAAATCGGAAACGATAGATCACTTTTTCGCATATTAGACCGTTAAAAGACACATGACATGGAACAGGATTCTTTGTCAGCTGCAGATGAATGGCATCTCATTACTTTATGTGGATATTGATGGATACATTCCCCTAACAAGGTAATTGCCTGATATTGTTGCTATAACTTTAGTCTGTTTTAATTTTAATATTTGCATTTTGTTTTAATCTATTTGTTATGGCATTCAACAGAATCATTTTTTTGTCATGAAAGGTAATGAGACAGACAACATACACTAGATCGCACTTAGGGCGTTTGTTTGAAATATGATACACGTCTAGATATTACAGTCATGTTATAAATTCACTAAGCATAAGCAGATCGTGTGCATTTTATTAAGTTTCAAAATGCATACAAATATGATAATAAACTAATTAGGATTATAAGACAAAATATAAAGACGTACATTGACTTCGTTATTTTAGTCCTAACATTTTTTACCACTGGCAGATGGTTTAACTAAAATGTTTTCATTTGTTATCAAAATAATGCCATTTAATACAACATTAAGATTAACTAGTAGTGAACCCAAGCTTACTACCCTCCCCAAGACTCCCCATGTACTTAGTTAGCCTTTACTTTCAAACAATGCTATTATATCATGCTTCTCACCAAATTCAAGGTCAAACTAATTTATTTCTTAAATCCAATTCTACATCCATTTACGTTAACATTTTTATAAAGTCAACATTACTATGAAATAACAAATTTTCATCAAAATAAGCATTTTTATGAATATTTTTTTATAAGAAACCAAATTATTCATCACAGTCTACATAATTTTACAACAACATCAAGATTATCGAGTAAAAAAGATTTCATCTTTGTTGATCAGTCTATACGTTTTCTATCAATTGCGCATGGTGGTGGCGCAGCAGAGGTAACGAACCAGTCATGAATTCTGGGATATCATCCGGGTACTCACGGGAGAAAAACAATAACAAAAGCAACAACCAATCCACGGAAATTGCTCTGCATCAGTAGCCCTTTAACGTTCAGTCTCAGCGAACGATTATAACACCCTTGCATCATTTGAAGCAGGGAGACTATATAACGGGGAGTGGTCACTCCTCGAAAAGCCCCTTAGCGTTTGCCTCGGCTCGTCACGTGACCAGTGTAGCCAATATGGCGGAAGCTCAGTTTTTAAGATTGGCCCGGTTTATTTTCAACAGCTGATTACATTCGCTGAGTGTTGTGACAACTGAAAACCTACATGTAGACGATAAGTAACCTATTCTGTCACTTCATTTTAAGTCAAATAATTGTTACTAGTGACAGTATTAGTACAGTAAATTTGTACTAAATTTTCAAGTCGGTATGTTGTAGCACACTGACTTCAATTCTCGGTACACAGCGAAGAAAGACTAAATTCTTTCGCTAAAAACTTCTTTCAAATACTCGTTTAATTTTTAGAAGGGAAATATACCATTAGTTGAGAGGTGTTTACAAGTATTTGTGATAGTTTTATAACTTTAATAAAACTGTTAGGGTCCCTTTGAGGTGTGTGAAAAATATGACATATCGCCGATCTGATCTGATCCGCCATTGAAATACTACAGGGCGTTGTTTGAGTGTTTCTAGTTATTGTTCTAAAAACTTCTTTCACATACACCTTATTTTTTATGAGGCGAATATACCACCAGGTGAAAGGTGTTTGCATGTAATAGTGATAGTTTTATTATTTAAAAAAAAAAGTTTAGGATGTATTTGAGGTGTGTGAAAAATATGACATATCGCCGATCTGATCTGATCCGCCATTGATGCTTGTTTAATAGTTCTAAAAAAACTTTCTTTCTTGTTGATCTTAGTATTTGACAAAACTGGAAAGGTGTTTACAACGCTTTGTGATAGTTCTAAACTTTCTGTTTTTGAGGGGTGTGTGACAGTGTCAGTTAACATTCTGTCAATGTCCATGTCATTCCACACATGCAATAAGATATCTAAATTAATTACTAATGTAAAAAAATGTCTCAAAGTAGATTTTTAAAAAAAGGACAGCTGGTGTTAACAAATGTGTTTTAGCGATAGTTTTGCGTTCTTTAACATGTTTGGGGAGGGATGGCCGTGGTGTATCATTTATTCTTTCATTCATTCACATATATATTTCTTTCTTTTGTTCTTTTTCTTTATTTCTTTCATTCATTCACCTATAAGTCTTGCTCTTAATTCTTGCTATAATTCATTCATTCATTCATTCATTGTAAAATTCAGACTGATACAATAAACTGCTACGCAGCCGAAGTTGCGCTGGGAACGAACCAAGTCGCTGTGTGCGTTGGAGCATGACGAGGCACACGTTAATTAGTACAAATGGTAAAGAAAGCAAGCGAGTGACCTATCCCTGTTGTAGAGTATCCCTGTTTGAAGTAATAACACAAAAAACAACAATATAAACTTTGCCTTTCGTTTTCAACAGGGGACTTTAGGGCGCTGTTTAGTGACAAAACATCAGTTCAAAGTCAGGAAAAGCCTTTAAAGATATTATATTATATTATATAATATCATATCATATCATATCATATCATATCATATCATATCATATCATATCATATCATATCATATCATATCATATCATATCATATCATATCATATCATATCATATCATATTATATTATATTATATTTTAATTTTATATATGTATTATCTTTAAACAACAAACAAACCAAAATCCTAAATCTTTGTCAGGCAAATATCAGTCAGGATGTGTAAAAAAATAGTACGTGGTTAACTTGAAGTATGAACCAGACTAGTAAACGTGGATTAGTAACTGTACTTACCTTGATAATCTAATGGATTGTTAATCGAATAATTTGATAGACAATCAACACAACCAAGCTAATCGCCACATAATGATTTTCAACTCTGCTTTTACGTAACACAAGAAGTTACATTGTATACGACACATAATTCTGAAACAAGTTTCTGATTCTACGAACTGTCTGGACATCATCTCAGTAATATTGGGAATTCAGAATTTATGAAATGACCTTATTGCCATCAAGCATCTGCAGCTTACTTATCTGTTGTAAGCTATGTGGTCTTGGCTATTTGTTGCAATCATATACTGTATTCTATGAATATATATACACACACACACACATATTCAATAAAGCCAAAATGTGAGGTATTTCGTACATGTTTAAATGTGTGGTCTCAAGTATTACCTCACGTGTTATACACACACACACACACATATATATGCACTGAATGTCTACATGCACACACTACAAAACTGTACATATAACAATTTTAAAAGTACATTTTGGTTGTCTATGTCTTTGGTCTCAAATGCATAATGGTCTGTTCTGTTGAACAATGAAATCATATTCCCAGGTAAACAATGATTGTTGAACGACCTTGACCCATATGGCAAAATATACTCAGAACGTTTAACTTGAAAATGTCTGGTGAAAAGATAAACGTCAAATCAGTGCTACCATATATTTCTAATAGAACACGATACCAGATTTGGTTGACTTGTTTGAGTGGCATTTTAGAAGGCATTTTGAGACGTACGGTTGGTTCTACTTTTTTAACTTGCGTCATTTTCCAGTTTCAAAATGATGTTTCACTTGGCACTAAAACGACACCGTCATTTACTGTGAGTGAATGGAACAAGGAACAACTGCTGAACAAACAGGTGCCTGTTTGAATCGAGGTTGAGGTGCAGTAGTGTATGCCATAGCCACAAATACTTTGTAAATTGTGATTGAACACTGCGCAATGACGTAGTTCAGATACTCTATATACATGTATGCTTGATGTGTGTTTTAATTTAGAAAATAAGGATTGCATTGTTGTTATTTTTCACTTCTTATTCACATAATGATACAGTTTACTTTATTGAAAACAAAACATGTAAAACAATACCAATTTCGGTGCATTTGGCAGACATTTACATTGTATGAAATAAGCAAAATGGTTGCCTATATTGTGAAATATTTTTCATGGAATGAGCAGATAATTGTTTGCCCACTGCACACAATGGGCAGATTGGGTTGTAACATATCTAGAATAAGTATCCAGTGACTATAAAACGAGCGGTCAGTCTGTCACCGTCATTACGCCCTGAGCTTGATGCCAGTCATGCTGAGCACTCCTGGTCAGTTTGTCCTGTCTGGCGGCCGCCAAGGGTCAGCGCATATTCTGATGCATGGCCAATAAATGGTCTGTGAACAGGTTGTACTGCAAATCTTGAAGATGGCTATCTTCAGTTCAATTCTTATTATGTAGAACTGTTTCGTTTCGTGTTGCCAAGTGCCACAATCATGAATTAAGTCTTCGGTTGCATGAACAAGTTTTCATGAACATATTGAAGCTTTTATTGGTTTTAGTAAAGTAAGTAGGGTAAATATATTTATATATTCTTTTTGCCGTATGTATCATAGTTTACAGTAAATTTGGAATAAAATCTATTAAGTCTAAGAATGTTCATTTTGTTTTACAAATATGCCATTCTAACAGTGTTAAAGTACATTAGGTCTTGGTCTGCATATGTCTTTTATGTAATGGATAATTATCTTCATTACACCAACATTCACAATGTAGCACGGATTTCTATATTGGTGGTTCATGGGTGGATAATTTCATCAAGTCAAAAGTAAAATCTGTTTTGTGTTCATTACATGTTCCCCAGTTGTGTTCCTAGTTTTGTGACATGGTACTGATGCATGTTTGCTGCGAACAGTTTTGCAGGGAAGGTACTTGAGAAGGTGAACCTAGTCTCAGATAAGTGTCTTTCCTGCAGACTAAGCATGTACGTTGTGAAGGTAGAAGTATGCTGAACAGTTCCTGGACCACCAAGGCATTCGTTTGTGTGTTTCAGGAGGTACAGATAGTTTAACTTATAGGAATTAAACGAGAGCTGTATGAGGGTCAACCAGCCAAATAAGAACTTGCATAGATTTTGAAGCTTCTATGACTACAGCATTTGTAAAGGTACGAGCATTAATATGACTGAATACATTAATAATGATCGTGGTTGTCCCGAAGTGGGAATGATCGCTGTACTGTGTTGTTCTGCAACGGTGAGGTCTATCGGTGTGTGTGTGTGTGTGTGTGTGTGTGTGTGTGTGTGTGTGTGTGTGTGTGTGTCAAGGGTGTGTGTGTGTGTGTGTGTGTGTGTGGAGGTATCCAATGGTAAAGCGTTGAGGTTGAAGGCCCGGGTTCGAACCATGGGTACAATGTGTGAAGCCCGTTTCTGGTTGCCGTTGTTGCTTATCGCCGCGGCTAAGCAATATTCCAGCCATAGGACGGCGTTCTGTAACTAATGGAAGCTGGACCAGTCAACCCAGTGATTAACATCATGAGCATCGATCTACGCATAGCCAGCGAGCCTGACCACATCTTACGACAAGCATGGGTTGCAGAAGATCTAACCTGGATCTTTACGGGCTTGCGTTGACCATTGAGTGTCCAAAGTACTGTAATGAGATCCAACTTGCAGTCATACGAAACGCAACCCCACACCATCACGGAGCCGCCACCAAAAGGTTCAGCTGCATGGGTCATCACCTGGTGGGTATGCCTCGTTACGACATCTCATGTAGAAGATTGCGATATACGGCGTTCCTCAGACCAGCAGCCCGCATCTGATGGCGCTGGTGGAGAGACTCCGACTCTCCACTGCCGGTAGAGAGTCGGACACCCCCTCCTTAGTTCTCTGGCATTGGTCATGGAATTGCGTCTTGAAAGACGAATAAGGACTCGACACTCATCGTCATTGATTTTCCTCTGGCCTTGGACGATCCTTCACGATCTTTGTGTGTCGCGAATGTTTCTGTTTTAGTAATTATAGCAATCATCTTGTAAACGTTATAAAATGAAACAGGCAACAACACGGATAGCATAGATAGATCGTCTTTAAACCTGTCGTAACCATTTGAACTGTACCATTTGTAATCTTCAATTGTGGAGGACATAATGTACAGGTGATAGGAGGTTTATTACACAAATAGATGTTTGTATTTATAAATAAACTCAGCAGCCAGAACATTATTTTGCACCAGATATCCATATCAATGTCAGCAGTACATCCTGGAAAGCCACCAAGTAGAAATGTAATCATAATGTCATCATCGTTTGCCCACAGGTTGACTAAGCAATTGACAGGAGGAGGGTACGCTAAAGGCAGACGGATCAGTGATGCCTGCCGTGTGCTTATTGAAGTAGAACGCTGTCTTCTCTGGGGCTGAAACACAATAATGATTGTGGCAATAAAAGCTGATTTAAGCCAAATTAATTCTAAACTTAAAGCATTGGTACATGAAGTTGTTCATGTTCCAATGTTTGCATCAACATATCTTAGGAGCGAGTTGAGTACCAGCCGCGCACTTAGTCATGTATAGATCATTTAAAGACTCCTAGTGTTTCATGGATGAAAAATATGTTGAAGCATTCCAAGCCATGGTAATCTATCCATTAGTATCACACCGTGTACTCACGTGACTTTGCTGTGTCGACAATTCCCTGAAATGTTAGGACACAGCCAGGGTAGGCGAAGCTCACAGTTACGTTCTGAGTTCCAAGCGGAAAGAACCAATTGTCAGATTTCAGCCCGCCTAACGAGGCACCGATGTAGCTGGATCCAAGTTCTGTCCTCTCGCCTAAGAAACGGCGGGAGGAGTCGTCAAGAATATGTTTATACGGCCTCTGAATGACTACCATTGAAAGGAAGGGTATCACAGAGTACTGGAATGTTTTCAACAACTGTAAATGTACACTGTAAGTTCTATCTTGTCATGTAGTTCTACCTTCCAGTTGTTATTAATATTTTCGTTTTTAAATGTTAAAGCAAATACAGTAGGGCGAAATAATAATTAGTTTTTGTTTAGAAATAGTTTGTAGGTGAAATATGACGTTAAAATAGAAATTCATTTCAATAAAAAAGGCAGATTTAGAAGTGAGTGTGTGCGTATGGTTTTGCGCCGCTTTTAGCAATATTCCATCAATATCACGGTAGGGACACCAGAAATGGGCTTCACACATTGTACCCATGTGGGGAATCGAACGCAGGTCTTCAGCGTGACGAGCAGACGCTTCAACCATTAGGGTGCCCCACCGCTCCGCAGATTTACAAGCCATATCTACCACTATAAGAAATGTGAAATTGACGTGGACATAGGTTTATAGTTTTCAATTCTGACTGCGCCTTGAGGTGAGGTGAAATGGGGTTTAACGTCGTACTTAAGAATATTTCGCTCATATGACGATGTGCATGCGTGTGTATGTGTGGCTGCCTGTACTAGCCCAGACTCAAGCAGTTTTTATAGTGCTAGCTCACTGAGATACCATGCCACAGTTAAGCATGAATACCCCACTCAGACACATTATATTGACTCCGAGCCGACCAGACCCTTTTGTACCCATTCATGCCTAGCGCCAGGCAGGGACCAACAAGTACCATATTTTATCGTCGTTTGGTATGACGCGGCCGGGATCGAACCCGCGACCTTCCGCTCTCCGGGCGGACGCTTTAACCACTACACTACGGTACTGCGCCTTAAGGGAAATTCGGGTGAATAGAATTCAGACACAACTGACGTCGAACGCCAGGTGTGTGGCACATTGCAAATGAGTCACACTACGTTTGAAATGGTGAAATCAATACGTCAACATGAGAAACTAATAACAACTATTCCAAAGACAAGTATCTGTGTAAACATCACAAACATTGGGCAGTAGTGACGTAGGCACCTACCCACGACGGCATTTGGCAGCAACTTTTCAGTGATGGCAACCTTGGTGCATGTGCCATCAGCTTCGATGTTGTAGCGTTCCTTCTGCAAAGTGAAAATAACATCAGTCTAAGTAAACTTAGGCTCAGTATTATTCGTTACACTGCTATACTGAGTTTAACAAAACCTAGTAGAAGGTCGCGTCAGCTAACTTTTTGGACTGACCAATCAGGACACAGCTTACCAAATCGCGAAAGTTAACATTCGCGCATACCGTTTGAACCTTTATCTCAAAAACTCGAACGATTCCGAATGCTATTTTCCGTACGACCGCTTGCGAGTGATACCCGCAATGAGTAAACAGTCGCTGAAAAAAGCGTTTTTGTCAATATTCAAGGATGTCATCTAGCGAAAATATAAGCAAATAGTAACCATGTCATTAGAAATCCAAAAGCGTATATACTGCAGGTAAAATATCCGTGTTTTATGCGGATTTTCGTTTGTTGATAGATCAGTGTCAGCGACCAGGGAAGAGAAAATCCAAAAACCGTTTTGTAAGTCCCGCCGAAACCTAACAAGTAGTCGTTGTCTGATTGGTTAAATCCGTTCGGCCGTCTCGCGTTTGATTGGACGGTCATAGGTCGCTCAAAGGGTAGCTGACGCGACCTTCTAATATGTTTTGTTAGACTCAGTATAGTAGTGTAACGAATAATACTGAGCCTAAGTTTACTTAGACTGAAATAATATTTATATGATTTACTTCACATACCTTAGAAAATGGTATTCCAAACTGCACATTGAGTGAGTGAGTATGGTTTTACGCCGCCTTTAGCAATATTCCAGCATTATCAAGGCGGAGGACGACAGAAATGACCTTTACACACTGCACCCATGTGGGGAATCGAACCAAGGTCTTCGGTGTCACGTGCGAACGCTTCACCCATAGGCTACCCCATGGTCGCCATTGCCCTTGAAATAAGGACAATGCATAACACAATGAACGGTATGCATCACATCACAAGATACCCCAATAAACTATATGCACATGATATTGGCGGAAGCCTAATGGCTGCTTACTCACTCACTCAGGCGATGGCGTCTCAGAGGCAACGTGGATTGAATACTCCCCGGGAAGCTGAGAATCAGAATTTATTGCTCACCGATCTGTTGAACGGGTAATATTAATGTAGGTACATGGGAATTTACCTGGTGACTGGAATCTGGCCGGTTATAAATTCACACTGTGAGTCATTCCTCAATGAACTCTAAGTATAGGGTCAGGCATAACCTAACGTGTTGTATGTATTACGTACGTGTCACAGTTGACCACAGCTGGCCATGCCTCAAGGAACTGTAGGTTACAGGGAAAATATAGCTCAATAAACTGTAGTAAACAAGTGGGCCACGATGTATCTCACAGAACGATAGGCGCCAGGACGTCAATGTGGCAGATCGGCGCTCATCATGTCACTGGACTCGATTTTTTTACTGACCACCGACTTGTTGCTGGGATGCTGCTGACTGCGGAGTTAAACAACAAACAAACAACTTGTAGGCAACAGGTAGCACCATGCCACAGTATATTATATATAAAGAGAACCAGGACCAACAGAATGAGTGAGTGAGTCTAATCTTCCGCCGCTTTTAGCAATATTCCAGCAATAACACGTCGGGGGACACCGGGAATGGGCTTCACACATTGTATCAGTGTGGGGAATCGAACCCAGGTCTTCGGTGTGACGTGCGAACACTTTAACCACACTACTACCCAACCGCCGCTAGGCAGGTGACCGGGTCATTGTCATATCACTCCTTACAATTATTGACCCACATACAATAATACTGTATAATGTTGTTATACGGTGTCCATTTGTCAGTCTGACTGTCCCTGAACAATATTATTTCCAGTTCCATCCAACTTTACTGTATTAGGCTACCGCCCCCAGGATCAACAGAACTGGTACCATAGGAAATTTAATATGCTGTGGGTAACAGAGTGAACCATAGTTAAAAGCACTGAACGTTCAAGGAGAACCGGAGCTCGATGGACTGTAGATAATGGTGTGAATCTAGGTACAACGGCGAATATACCTCAAGAACCATAGATACCACGGCGTGCTTAAGTCAAGAACCTTAGGTACCCTGGCGAATCATGCCTCAAGAACCTTAGGTACAAAGGGGAATCATATCTCAAGAACCATAGGTACAAAGGGGAATCATGCCTCAAGAACCATAGATACCACGGCGTGCTTAAGTCAAGAACCATAGGTACCCTGGCGAATCATGCCTCAAGAACCATAGGTACCACGGCGAATCATGCCTCAAGAACCTTAGGTACAAAGGGGAATCATACCTCAAGAACCATAGGTACAAAGGGGAATCATACCTCAAGAACCATAGGTACAAAGGGCAATCATACCTCAAGAACCATAGGTACAAAGGGGAATCATACCTCAAGAACCATAGATACAAAGGGGAATCATGCCTCAAGAACCATAGGTACAAAGGCGAATCATGCCTCAAGAACCATAGGTACAAAGGGGAATCATACCTCAAGAACCATAGGTACAAAGGGGAATCATACCTCAAGAACCATAGATACAAAGGGGAATCATACCTCAAGAACCATAGATACAAAGGCGAATCATGCCTCAGGAACCATAGGTACCACGGCGAATCATGCCTCAAGAACCTTAGGTACAAAGGGGAATCATACCTCAAGAACCATAGGTACAAAGGGGAATCATACCTCAAGAACCATAGGTACAAAGGGGAATCATGCCTCAAGAACCATAGATACAAAGGCGAATCATGCCTCAAGAACCTTAGGTACAAAGGGGAATCATGCCTCAAGAACCATAGGTACAAAGGGAATCATGCCTCAAGAACCATAGGTGCAAAGGCGAATCATGCCTCAAGAACCTTAGGTACAAAGGGGAATCATACCTCAAGAACCATAGGTACAAAGGGGAATCATACCTCAAGAACCATACGTACAAAGGCGAATCATGCCTCAAGAACCATAGATACCACGGCGTGTCACAAGTCAAGAACCATAGGTACCCTGGCAAATCATGCCTCAAGAACCATAGATACCACGGCGAATCGTACATCAAGAACCATAGGTACCAAGTTGAACCGCATTGATACTGATAAGGTGATAAAGACAAAACTCTTGATGTGTTCGTCAACTAGCTGGGAGATATTGAAAAAGTGTAGGGGAAAAGTAGAAATGAGATTCAAAAGCTTTCAAAATGACCCTGTTGTTCTTCAGTGTGGGCGATGGGGTAGCCTAATGGTTAAAGCGTTCGCTCGTCACGCTGAAGACCCGGGTTCGATTCCCCGTGTGGGTACAATGTGTGAAGCCCATTTCTGGTGTCCCCCGCCGTGATATTGCTGGAATATTGTTAAAAGCGACGTTAAATCATACTCAATCACTCAATCACTCACTCACTCATTCTACAGTGCTGAACCACATTATCACATGAACTTCTCTGTGACCCATTCCCAAAGAACAACCAATAAATGTTGCTACCGTGAAGTACGATGTGACCACTTTGCGCGCCTTTACTTGGGAATCGGACTGATAGTACTGGATGGCAGTGGTTCCCTTCATGAAGTCGTAGTAAAAGTCAGCCATTATCTGATATATAAAGCATGAGCAGAATGATTGTAGAGGCCACACTGATTTCAAATTGATATTTTCCAGAATTTCTATGGCCTCCGTTTAAAAATACTGTCAAAGAATTGCCATATCGAAGACTAAATTTCCAACGTATAAATTCATTGGATACCATCTAAGACCGGTTTTGGAACTGTTTTTTATGCAATATGAATCATTCCGACTTCGTGTATTCAACAAGATGAATGTTCGTACCCTTACACCAACATTTACAAACACCAATTAACAGTCATGGAGAAAAGATATGTCGGGTCTTGTTCGGCCTGAGAGTTAAACTACCTGGAACTCCTAAAACACAAATGTCTTGGTTATACTGGGCGTGATCGTTCTGTAAACAGTTATCGAATGCCCACATTAAATATACTCACGTCAAAAAGAAACTTGACCCCTATTATTTTCGCTCTAAAGAAAATGTGTCTTTTCAAATATTTCAAAATACTATGTCCTGAGTTCTCCCGTGAGAACTTGAAACGTACAGCGGGAACGCAACATTTCCAAAGCATGGTTTACAGGCAAGGTTCTTGTAAAATCGGTTTTATCGCAGCTGCACGAACTGTATGTGCAATTTATGGTATAAAATGCCTCTATATAACCCGATGTTATCAGTGTCATTGGAAAACCGCAGTAAAGATGCCGAGACTTACAGCAGAACAACGTGAACGAGCCATCGGTAAGATCCAAACGGGGAATTCTCGTGGTCACGTTGCAAGAACCATCGGTTGCTCTACCACGGCTATATCCCACCTCATCCAGCGGTTCCAACAGACTGGCCAGACGAAAGACCGGCCCAGATCAGGGAGACCTCGCATTATAACAGCACAGGAAGACCGGTACACCTCAACGGCATTAGGTCGCCGCCTCAGTCGATTAACAGTGGCCAGGCGTCTCCGTAGCTACAGCATTAGGAACTACAGACCGTACAGAAGAACATTTCTCACACTTAGACATCGCCAGCAGAGATTACAGTGGGCACGTCACGTACGACGCTGGCAGAGACGTGACTGACAGAGGGTACTCTTTTCGGACGAGAGCAGGTTCTCTCTATTCCATAATGACGGAAGGACATGAGCCTACAGGAGAGTGGGTGAACGAATGGCTCCTTATTGCATTCAGCCTTTCGGCGGAGGGGATGTGATGATCTGGGGAGGCATTATTGGAGACCGGACCACTAGACTTGTTGTGTTTGACGAGACACTGACTGGTCAACGCTACATCGACAACGTTTTGAGGCCGGTAGTTCTCCCGTTCATGTAGCAACATCAGAGAGGGACTCTCTTCCAACATGACAACGCCAGGCCCCATGTTGCTAGAGTTGTACAGGACTTTCTGAATCGCAACAATGTCAACGTTCTAACCTGGCTTCCAATATGTCACCGATTAAGCACCTCTGGGACCACCTCGATCGCCGTATCAGACAACGACAACCACCTCCACAAACACGTCGGCCGTTGATTCAAGCGCTGAGGGAGGAGTAGCAGAGAATCCCCAACAATGTCATCAGACGGCTGACGTTATCAATGCGCGACGTGTTTGCATGCATCCAGGTCCAAGGAGGACACGTCCGTCATTGACAATGCTTTTTGACAACTGTGAAAGTCTATGACCGTGTAAAGACTTTATCTTTTGGATATATAAATTTCAAATTTAACCCCTTCTGTAAATGGCACGTCAATACATTAATATTCAATAAATCTTAATTAAATCTTGTGGTGTGCTTGTCAATCTTCGTATTACAAAAGGTTTTAGTGACATAGGGCTGAAATTCTGCACACTGTCAGTACTGTGTCAGGAAGCAAGTTTCAGTTGGACGTGAGTATATATGTTTAGATTGTGGAGAAGATACTTATGTAAAACTGGGTTCAGAAACCCAAATACTTCCTTCATACAAACTTTTAGAACGCATGCAATCTCTCTTGCAATGTCCTCCGGTTTACAGGAGGAAGATGTGATGAGCAACACAAGACAGATTCTGCTTGACTCTAGGACATTACCCACTAATCATTTTGCCTGAACCATCAATTGTGCGACATTGTAAAACGCTTTACATATCTATTTCATATGACATATGCACATACCATGGCCTCGTGAACTTTCACACTGTTAGAATGGCATAGATGTGTATAAAGCAACATTCATAAATTATATAAGAATTTAATATTATTTGTGTATTTTGGTAAATTCACCACACATTCCCATTCATGATCTACGGTACCCTGTCTAACCACACTAAAACCTGTAAAAAGGTAGCACCCACTCCCACACTCACTCACTCACTCACTCACCCTCTCGTATCCAATAAACATGCGCCTCACTCACAAAAGATACCTGCCGCAGATGACAGTATGGACCATATATATTCATGTCGATGTTTTTGGAAATATACATTTAGGGATGGTGCAGTAGATTAGATAAACTATGAATTACATGTTACAAACACCTAAAGGTGCACATACAATGTGCCTGTGGTCAACTTACACCATATCCTTGGGAGGTCGCTCGAATGTCGAACATGGTGGCCGACCATTTATTGTCCATAGTGCAAGATATGCGCTGAGCGCTGGCGGCCGCCAGACAGGACGCACTGACCAGAAGTAGCAGCATGACGGACATCAAGTCCTGGACGTTATGACGGAGACAAACTGACCGTGAGTTTTATAGTCACTGGATACGTGTCTGTGATTGTTTTCATAATACCTGATAAAATCGGGAACGGCGTTCTATTCGCTCTCACTGAAACGATTCCATTTTAGTGTCAAATATAGGTGAAACCGAACGACTAACCCCATTCTGCCAACCGTCTGAGATGTATATAAGCACAAGTTATGAAATAAAACCAACACATTCTGGTATTTTTTATATAATTACAAATGTTACAACATAGCACTGATTCGATTGAACGGAACCTATTCCGTTTATCTTTCCAACAGGTGTTTTCAAAATAACGTTCTGTCAAAGCTGCACAAGATTAAATTATTAATTCTGGACGAGACAAGATTGTGTCTGAGGTCATGAAAACGTAACCCCTCCCGCTGATTCCCTATCAAGATAATAATAATAAATAATAATGAGGGTACTTGTACCGCGCAATACTCCACAGCACAAAGGGGAATGCTCAAAGCGCGCATTATTACCATTAGTACATTATTACCCCGGATAACCCAAGCTGCCTGTTTGGCGCTAGAAGGTTATAGTCACGTGACTTATCCCGACGGGTACCCATTTTTCTGCTGGGTGAACAGAGGCAATTTTAACAAACTCACTTGCCTAAGGTGAGACCATATGTATCACATGTTTCGTTGCGGGGAAGGACTGAAGTCCTAGAAACTCTCAGGTGTCAAGCTGCCAAACACGGTCACCCATCCAACGACTCTCCGCGCCCAAGATCCAAAGCATGCCGATTCAACGCACAAGCCGCATCGTAATGGCTTAAATATTCTGACATGCTTGTGTTCCGTCCTTGTCATTATGTGAATTTCTTCTTAAAAGACATTCAACAATGTCTTTAAAGGGGTACAAAGCATTCTACAATAAAATAATGCTCATGGGAAGGAGATACCTCTATGCACTGTAGATAGAAAGATAGGTCGCAACACAATGAACTATAAGAACCTTAGGTTGACACTTATCGCAGGGAGCTGTAAGTACCAGACGAAACCCTATCTCGGTGAACTACATGTACAAAAGATAGTGTACAACTGGTGTTTTGGTACAATACTAAAACAAAATACAAAAAATAAATGTTTTGGAAAGTGTTTTGATTGTGTCTCACAAGTACCAAACATTCGGTACATGTTGTCAAACACCGCAGATATCCTGCACCGCAGTTCTGACTGGAATAACACGAAAACCGCGATGTTTGTTGACGAAGAAGAAATCGTGACTTTTCACTGAACCAGACTCGCCTCCAGTTTCTAAGGTACCAGTTCCGGGCTCTACGACACCACCGCAAGAGATTGCGCCGATTGAAGTCTCTCAAAACAGGGGCGACAACTGGCCTACTTGGCCGAATCCCCACTTCAAGCAATCAATTCCTGACCGTTTGGTAGGAAATTCTTCTCAAACCAGGGATGCTTGGGTGGTAACTCTTCGACGGCCGCTTCTCGGGCGATCTTGGGTGGGCTTGGTCTGCAGGACACGATTCCAAAGGCGAGATATGGTGCTCTGATGAACTTTGAAATGTCGGGTAACTGCAGACTGCGACTCCCCAGCTTCAAGGCGGCTTATAGTGATGTTTCGATTGGCGGCACTCAGTTGTGACATGATGATTTCCTCTTTTCCAGGCAAAAGCTGATGACAAAATTAAACACAATGTTTGCCTTTATATAGTAATCGATACTGCATGCTTTTCCGCTTACGTGCACGTGTAGTTTGCTTTGCATGTCTTTTTGATGACGTTTTGGGCGAATATTTCTTCAAACGCTTCTAAAACATGGGGAAAAGTTAAATTGCTGTGTTTTGGCACTGAAGCTGTTTACAATCACAAAAAGATGACCTTTTGGAAAAAAATAGTATTGTTTTTGCCTCAGCTACATGAATCAATATTCTCAAATTGACCTATGCGTTTCTTTGTTTGAAGAGTGTACATACAGGCAACACGAAATGATCATGATTATGACACTAGGCTTGCCCTTGGTGCTGCCGACCGTTTTTAATGAGTGAGTGAGTTAGGATTTACAATCACATCGGCATTAGTTCAGCCAAATCGTGACTAAAACAAGTTATATATTGATAATAAATGGACTTTGATTGTAGAATCTTTCGACAAAGGACAATACAACAAGTAAAGTATAAGAGATGGTATATAAACAGATAATCGACTGAATTAACAGATACATACACGTATATATACTGATGGAATTTAATATGTTTTATCTGTATTTCAAGCTTTATGCCCATGGGATAATTTGTTTTACATGTGTAAGTTAGTCACGTGATACAGTTTAACATTTCACATCACAGAAAATGCCTTTTAAGAAAATAGTTATTAAATCTGAGATGCCATAAGTTGTTTTCTAAATTGAGACGGTGTATAATTGTTTATCTTTATACTTATTAATGGATATATTCGTCTTCGCGGAACTTACTTTCAATATGTTCACGACAAAGCTCTGTACAGACTCCATTAATAAGTAGAACAATATTTACTTCAAAATCATGTAAGCAAATACTTCAAATGACAGACTGCTCTGTAATAATAGAAGCTCTGTACAAAGAGACCGAGACTACATTTTTAGTTAGCACTATAGTAACTCTACGTTATGAAGAGACTGTCAAATGAGCACATCCACACATATATATTACCTCAATGAAGTGACATTTAATCGTCATTATCTTTCAGCCATATTCCGACCCTTAATAAAGACACCCATTTGTTCATACATGTATATACAGAAGGAAACATCCAAGACCTTTTGTGATGTAAGTGAAGATGAGCAACCTTGAATGCTGGAATGCTTGACTATCGAATAACCGTTTACTGTTTCTGTCACGTTTAGCCACCATCAAACATGGATGTATACTTTTTGACACACAACTAAGACAGTTTAAATATACTCGATGTCATTAATGAAGGATCAAGCTATTGGTAACCGTATTTCTTAAAAGTTGTTAAATCTTAATGTTTGTTTGAAATATATACATCTGAATGTTTTACAAACTTTCTTAACAGTGTGGAAAAACACATCAGGCCGTTGAAATGTCATTATTACGTTCTTTAATGTCCGATACATTCTGTTACAAATAGCACATTTTTTTATTCATATTGCCAACATGGAAATCCACCTGCCACTTAATGTCAATGATTTGCACGTGCAAGTCGCTCTATCCATGGAAAGCGGTGGACAACACACATGCATTGATGCTTTTTCACTGTCGTTCACTGTTCAGGTTCCTGTTTGAAATCGCAGCTTAACATGAGACGTTTTTTTGACACTTGTTGAAAGGGGTCAGGCTATAGGCCTTTTGGAATCAGATCAAACTCAGCGGCAGGTTGCTGTCCGCTTTAATGTGAGACAGAACGCTATTGGTAGACTGTGGCAGGGATTTCAAGCCAGTGGGTCCGTGGAATATGTCACAACAGTCCGAGATGATAGGCATATGATTAACACTGGGTAAATAAACAGATTCCTTAACGCAGTATATCATCAGACAGAACACTTCAGTGTTAAGAATGTAAGGATATCCAGGAGCACCGTTCGTCGACGTTTAAGGGCAGCCAGACTCCGCTGTAGGCGATCTGCAATTCGTCCACCACTAACTCCACGTCACAGGCAGGTGTGTTTGACATGGAGTGGACATCATGGCCGCTGGAATCAACGTCAATGGTCTCGTGTGCTCTTCACAGATGAAAGCAGATTCAATTTGTCCTTCCATGATGGTCGGCAGAGGATTTATTGTCGTAATGGAGAGCGAATCACAGATGCAACTGTGGTCATACATAACCGTTTGGCGGTGGGGGTGGGGGGTCATGGCTCCTATAGCAGTACCATTCCTGCAATCTATGCATGGCATTTATGGTCGACTCTCTTTACTGCAGGACGACAAAGCTTGGCCTCATAGGACCATGAATTCCTTAGGCAGCAGGGTGTAGAGCAAATGGAGTGGCCAGCATGCTCTCCAGACCTCAACCCAATTAAGCATGCCTGGGATGAACTCCACCACCAGTGGATCTTCCTGGACTCCGCAGAGCTCTAGTAGAGGAATGGAATGCGATTCCGCAAACTTTCTTTATGAACTTGATAATGAGCATGAGAACAAGGTGCGCCTGTGTTTTGGACGTGGGTGGAGGGTACATAGGATAGTGAATGACCGAGTGCTTCATGTTTGTCATTTTCATTTTTGGGTGTTGGTCTATGCAACTGGTGTTTGCTAGTGCTGTTTGAACTTTTTGGTATGTATGTCACGATGTGTCACGTTTGTCAACACATTAAACATTATGATGACACTCTTAGTTCTATTATTTCTGAGAAACGTTTCTTAACGTGTGCTATATATCATTTAATCCTTTATTGATGATTCCCAGTAGTAAGGCAATATACATCCTGTTGTGTGGCAGCGTTATTCATTATTCATATGTAGTACATTCATCAAGGAGCAGAGTGTGCTTTAGATTTAGACTTGTGCTACATTTAGACAGGGTTCTGGAATGTCCTACAATTTTCTGGGCCTTTCCACTATATTCTGACTCATTGAGTTGTAAAATCATCTTAAGTCTTTTGAGGTATATAAGGGGCGCTAACACTTGCCGCCCATCTCACATTATATCTCAAGTTGAAAGAAGACCAGCAATTGTGTGGGGAATATTCTTACCCTGGCTACTAAGCCGATGCCCATTTTGGAAGCATGACCATTTTTTAAGTGAGTTGAACATTACCATCTGAGTTTATGATTTCTATATCTATACACATGAGTAATAATCAAGTACCACCCAGTTTTACAGGATACGTAAGAAAACACTCCATAATGTTGCATAAGCTTTGAAAACCATGAAAGTGAAAGTATTAAGTGGCAACTGTTACATATTCTACTCTGAACAAAACTATAAAAACATGTGAAATTGAAATTTGGTAACACTGTACTTGCAGCTGAGTTAAAGAAATAGAGCCAGACACTAGAAAGCTCGTTGAGAAGAATGGACAAGGGAGAAATAACAATACAGATATGTGTGATTCTACGGCACTTCGCTCAACACATTGCTTAACTAGATAGATGGTGCTGAGAAAATATCTACAGCCGACAGACTGTCCTGAGGCATACTTGTAGACGATAATCTTGTAGAAGATGCGTTTTGCGCTGTGTATTCGTTCCATGTACACAACAAACCAGCAGTATAATGGCGATCTTATAACAATCAAACAAATGTTTAATATGTCATATCGCAATATCACCTATGCTTTTCTTTTTTGGTAGAGTATAATTCATCCAGAACATGCTGGTTCTTCCATACAAAACCATCTTCCTCAAGTGCAGTCAAAGATGTCATGATCAGAAGCAAAAGACACATTGAAGGACAGTCACCATTATCATCAGAAATCTCTAGTAATAGACCATTGTACTTTGATCTCAATATCTTAAGTATAAGTTTATAAATCAGTATCAAATAGTGATAGTATCAGATTATCGCCAAAGCTTGCTTGTATCTCGCCCACCATTGCAGCTCGTCACAGCCACAAGCAAAAACAAGTCAATTGTCAATCTGAAACAAATGTTATGTGGACATATGGTGCAAGATAAAATAAAAAGGAAATGCATTGAAAAACATCTGTTGAATAACAAATTTGGAAATTTGCAGTGCCAATGTAAATCTAAACCTTTAAAGTATCATACTGGTGATCATGCGTTGACTTTGTAGCTTTTTGCTGTTTATCGTCCACCCAGACTATCGGTAGCCAATATAAACTAATTCCGCAAAGCACTGCCCTCAGTCCAGTTAAGACCTGAAGTTGGACAAATCTTTCTCAAAATCCATGCAGACATATTGACAGACTGAAAATGGTGTATGGTGTCACAACACATGTCCTTGCTACGGTATGTCAAAGCGCGAGTAGACAAGTTTGTTTGTTTGTTTGTTTGTTTGTTTGTTTGTGTGTGTGTTGTTTAGCGCCGCACTCAGCAATATTCCAGCTATACGGTGGCAGTTTGTAAATAATCGAGACAGCACCAGACAATTATCAAACCAAGTCAGTGCTCCTGAACACCCTTTCCCGTTGGTCACCTCCTGCGACAAACATTGGTTACTGAAGACCAATTCTATTCACGAGTCTAAATGATATTTTTTCAAATGAAGTAAGGACGTCCTAATCCTCTGAGCCTCATACATTTACGTGTGTGTTCAGTAGCATCCATTTTCCCCTCGGATGGTAACTCAGTGAGATAACCGAGCACAACCTACAGTGTTGAAGTTTAAGAAGACAGCAGCCATGGGTACATGTAGTTCACGTGCTGGAAATAGGTCGAAATGGTACAAGTAATGGTACAAGTAATGTGACAGAACGAACATTGGGACAGTGTGACCAGTGTTCCAGAGATCCACCCAATCGCCAACACACAGGAAGGAAGACGGATGCGGTCAAGGCAGTGTATGAAAGACGAGCTAGATTTCTGATGGAGGGTCTAAATCTACAGCTAGTCAACCCGATGGTCTGGTAAACATTTTAGATAACATGTTTCATACATCTGAGCAATTTTCTTAGGATTGTCTTGTCTGGTTAGACCCGTGACGATCCGGGTTAGAATTGCTCTTCTGTAAAACCATGCTTGTCGTAAGAGTTGACTAAAGGGTCGGGTGGTCAGGCTCGCTGACTTGTTTGACACATGTCATCGCATCCCAAATTGCTCAGATCGATGCTCATACTGTTGATCACTGGATTGTCTGGTCCAGACTCGATTATTTACAGATTGGAATACTGGAATATTTATAGCTGGAATATTGCTGAGTGCGGCGTAAAACTAAACCCTCTCACTCACTCTTGTCCGGTTAAATCCATTTTGGGTTGGTAACAATAATTTTGGAGTTACCAGCCCTGATGTCTGGCTGGGGTTTTTGCTTATTTCATACACTGGTCAATGTCAACGTGATCGGCGGTGAAGCGGCGGCCATGACCTTCATCCCAACCCATATACAATCTAAGTGACCATGTCAGTCAAGTATTTGTGGGTAGAGGAATTACACAATGTGGTGTATGGTCAGTAACCCACGTACGCCAAACGGCCCAGCGACTGTGAGGAGGTGTTCACTGACATTTATATATAGCGCTAGAGATAATAGGTCGTAACCGTAGGAGATTAGTGACAAAAAAGGATGAACGTTTGCTTAAAATATTATCAAGACAGAATTTCGGAGCACTTTCGAACACAATTTGGCATTTTGGATAAGAGAAGTTTAGAAGAAACCTCTTAAAGTGGTTTGCACCATAATACATATTAACACTCACCCACAGGTCTGATTTTGAAGAGTTTACAGAGTTCACCAGTGACTGCTTGGAAGAACCAAAGATATTACACTGTCGTCTCCAAATGTAACACAGCACATCTGGCTATACATAGTTCACCTGTTGGTACAAGTCAAGACTCGTTATATGCCACCAAGTAATAACATACAGACACCGTACTTTGACAGATATCTATTGATCACAATTTAATTGTGAATTATTTTAAATGAAACAAAAATCATTCCAGGACAAGAAATGAACTTTATTAATTGCAGTTGCTTTGCTATTGACAGCCGGCGGGGATTCCGAAAGCAGCGTCATCCGTAATTTGCGGCACATATCCGTTAAAGTATACACCTGTATTTACTGGAGCTGAAACACAAATGTGGTTATTATGCGTTGTCATCATAGGAAACCTGATTTATGCTCAAACATAACAGTAAATAAAAGATAAGCAAATAAATTTAGTTGTACATGCTCCATTGCATTCTCTTCCCACAGAGGTTACTTGTCATTTCTTCCTACGAACCTCTGTTCTAATACGGTCATACTTACCGGTTCTCGTAAAATCCCCTAGCGGCAAAAAAATCGCAACACGAATTATCTCCCTTCTTTCATACATACATACATACAAATATTTGTAAAGCGCTTTTTATCAATCTAATTGCTCAAAAGCGCTTTCTGTCCAATCAGAACACGTGTTACATCAACTTGACTAATACAAGCAAATGTTGGGTCACAAATATCCCTCCTCTGCCAGGAACTTGTGTTGATGTGACACACAAGACATTTAATGGCTAGCTTGTCCATTGTCAACGAGGGCGATGGAGACGCCATTGATCCGCCATTTACATGACTGAGTTCTGTCTATAAGAAACGTTTGCGCATCGCGCAGGGAAAGCGGTTCTAGTTTTCCCGAAGCATACGGAAATAACCGAGGCCTTGCAAATGATCACTTTTGAAACAACGTCGCTGATTGCACAACTAAATCTGATTGCAACCAATCACGAATCCTGAACACTCGCACAATGAAATGGACGTATTAGAACAGAGGTTCGTAGGAAGAAATGACAAGTAACATCTGTGGGAAGAGAATGGCTCCATTGCTTTCTAACTAAAATATTGGTGGAGCGGGTAGTGCACCATTCATACTGAACATCGTTCATAAATGCTAATGAGTGACACTGGTAATTAAATGTCAAATGCATATGCATTACAGTGTAATAGTTCCATGGCCTGTATCAAGTATGGATCATTTAATGAACTCTTGATATAATTGTGTCATTGTAAAGATCAATGAACTCTAGTAATACGTTTTCTCAGATGTTACTGTAAAAGGTTTTAATGAATGAAAATAGGATTGAATTTAATCACATAAAATTGAATTGAGGAAGATCATTTATTATTAGTTTTCTGACATCATACGTTTTCGGATGGCAGTGTTTACTCGCGGTATAAGTCGGCTGATGGCATGTCTTTACGATAAAGTTGTCTATAAGGTATTACGATGTTCCGCTGCTCGTCTGGTTATTCAAGAAAACCCAGAATGTTTTTAAGCACCTGAAAAGAACACTGTTATGTACGATAAACACTGTTCATTGCAATCCGCACTGAATTTCGTTAATTTACAACAGGATTAACCTGAGCTCAACAACGGTTTAACCTGATCCGCGGTATCCCGAAGAGCGATGTTGCGAGGGATGGCTCTAGTTATTTCCTTGTAAAGATATCTAAAACAAATGCTTAGTAACACACTGTACTCACGTGACGGTACTGTATCGACTTTCCCCCGGAATGTTGGGACGCATCCAGGGTTGGCATAGCTGACAGTAAAGTTGAGGGCACCAAGACGAAAGAACCAAGTATCAGTTTTCAGCCCGTTTGTCTCAGTGCCGATATAGCTGGATCCGAGGTATGTACTCTCGTCTGTGTGGGGGAGATAATTTATATCACTGTGCACATGTGAGCGTGTGGTCTTGGGCACCACGATCAGCAGGCACTGCCATTTTCTTTGAACTACTAGTACATAATGAACGCAAAACACGGAAACACAGAACTTGAGGATTCCACTCAGTAAGAGAAATACCAATTTAATAATAGTGAAAACAAACATAAGCCTGCATTTTATAGTGATGACGATATGATGTAACCTTGGTGTAGGCACCTACATGGGACGCAGTTTGGTAGCATGTCGTCAGTGTTGGGCATCCGGACACATGAGCCAGTGTTGATTGTGTACCGTAGTCCCTTCAACGTCAAAATCACATTTACTGGGATTTACCCAACACATTAACTCGCACATCTCAGACAAAGGTATGGACAAAAAAGCAAGCATATTACAATGAAAACGATGTCGTGGGGAAGGGGATACCCCTATGAACTGTCGACCGGTAGACCACATAACAATGAGTGTTAGTGAGTGAGTTTAGTTTTACACCGCTTTAAGCAACCAGCAATATCATGGCGGGGGACATCAGAAATGGGCTTCATACATTGTACCCATATGGGGAATCGATCCCGGGTCTTCGGCGTGGTGAGCGAACGCTTTAACCACTAGGCTACCCCACCGCCCCACATAACAATGAACCTTATATTGATTCTTATCTCAGGAAACTGTATGTTCCAGATGAATTCTTATCTCGGTGAACACACAAACTGATGTGCTGCATAAGATAGTACAGGCCTGGGCCTAGATTTTCGAAGCTCTCTTAGCGCTAAGATAGTCGTAAGTGCCATACATTAACATTAACTTACGACTCTCTTGGCTCTAAGAGAGCTTTGAAAATCTAGGCCTGAATCTATTTTCAGAAGCCCTTAGCGCTAAGATAGTCGTAAGTCTATGTTAATGTATGGCACTTACGACTCTCTTAGCCCTAAGAGAGCTTCGAAAATCTAGGCCCTGGTCTTTTTGATAATTCTAGAGTGACTCAAAATAGATATCTTCACAATACATCAGTGATTTTAATGGGTGGTGGTGGTGGGGGTGGGGGACTTATACCTGAATGAACTGTATAGAGGGTTAGTGTCACAATCAACTGTAGTGATGTCATCTCAATGGAATGTAGTGCTGGCTATACCTCTATGCAGTGTGTACGCGGCAGTATAACAAAGAACTGTAGTGGAGAACTATATGTGGACTATGCCTGGGTTGAAGGGGACAATTCTTCAATGTATTGTACATGGGAACTTTACTTCAATGAACTGTACATGGGAACTAGACCTCAATGAACTGTACATGGGTACTATACCTCAATGAATTGTACATGGGAACTAGACCTCAATGAACTGTACATGGGAACTAAACCTCAATGAACTGTACATGGGAACTAGACCTCAATGAACTGTACATGGGAACTAGACCTCAATGAACTGTACATGGGAACTAAACCTCAATGAACTGTACATGGGAACTATACCTCAATGAACTGTACATGGGAACTATACCCCAATGAACTGTACACGGGAACTAAACCTCAATGAACTGTACATGGGAACTAAACCTCAATGAACAGTACATGGGAACTAGACCTCAATGAACTGTACATGCAAACTAAACCTCAATGAACTGTACATGGGAACTATACCTCAATGAACTGTACATGGGAACTAGACCTCAATGAACTGTACATGGGAACTAGACCTCAATGAACTGTACATGGGAACTAGACCTCAATGAACTGTACATGGGAACTAGACTTCAATGAACTGTACATGGGAACTAGACCTCAATGAACTGTACATGGGAACTAGACCTCAATGAACTGTACATGCGAACTAAACCTCAATGAACTGTACATGGGAACTAGACTTCAATGAACTGTACATGGGAACTAGACCTCAATGAACTGTACATGGGAACTAGACCTCAATGAACTGTACATGGGAACTAGACCTCAATGAACTGTACATGGGAACTAGACCTCAATGAACTGTACATGGGAACTAGACCTCAATGAACTGTACATGGGAACTAGACCTCAATGGAACTGTACATGGGAACTAGACCTCAATGAACTGTACTGGGAACTAGACCTCAATGAACTGTACATGGGAACTAGACCTCAATGAACTGTACATGGGAACTAGACCTCAATGAACTGTACATGGGAACTAGACCTCAATGAACTGTACATGGGAACTAGACCTCAATGAACTGTACATGGGAACTAGACCTCAATGAACTGTACATGGGAACTAGACCTCAAGGAACTGTACATGGGAACTAAACCTCAATGAACTGAACTGTACATGGGAACTAGACCTCAATGAACTGAACTAGACCCTCAATGAACTGTACATGGGAACTAGACCTCAATGAACTGTACATGGGAACTAGACCTCAATGAACTGTACATGGGAACTAGACCTCAATGAACTGTACATGGGAACTAGACCTCAATGAACTGTACATGGGAACTAGACTCTCAATGAACTGTACATGGGAACTAGACCTCAATGAACTGTACATGGGAACTAAACCTCAATGAACTGTACATGGGAACTAGACCTCAATGAACTGTACATGGGAACTAGACCTCAAGGAACTGTAAATGGGAACTATACCTCAAGGAACTGTAACTGTACATGGGAACTAGACCTCAAGGAACTGAACTAGACCTCAATGAACTGTACATGGGAACTAGACCTCAATGAACTGTACATGGGAACTAGACCTCAATGAACTGTACATGGGAACTAGACCTCAATGAACTGTACATGGGAACTAGACCTCAATGAACTGTACATGGGAACTAGACCTCAATGAACTGTACATGGGAACTAAACCTCAATGAACTGTACATGGGAACTAGACCTCAATGAACTGTACATGGGAACTAAGCCTCAATGAACTGTACATGGGAACTATACCTCAATGAACTGTACATGGGAACTAGACCTCAATGAACTGTACATGGGAACTAGACCTCAATGAACTGTACATGGGAACTAGACCTCAATGAACTGTACATGGGAACTAGACCTCAATGAACTGTACATGGGAACTAGACCTCAATGAACTGTACATGGGAACTAAACCTCAATGAACTGTACATGGGAACTAGACCTCAATGAACTGTACATGGGAACTAGACCTCAATGAACTGTACATGGGAACTAAACCTCAATGAACTGTACATGGGAACTAGACTTCAATGAACTGTACATGGGAACTAGACCTCAATGAACTGTACATGGGAACTAGACCTCAATGAACTGTACATGGAACTAGACCTCAATGAACTGTACATGGGAACTAGACCTCAATGAACTGTACATGGGAACTAGACCTCAATGAACTGTACATGGGAACTAAACCTCAATGAACTGTACATGGGAACTAGAACCTCAATGAACTGTACATGGGAACTAGACCTCAATGAACTGTACATGGGAACTAGACCTCAATGAACTGTACATGGGAACTAGACCTCAATGAACTGTACATGGGAACTAGACCTCAATGAACTGTACATGGGAACTAGACCTCAATGAACTGTACATGGGAACTAGACCTCAATGAACTGTACATGGGAACTAGACCTCAATGAACTGTACATGGGAACTAGACCTCAATGAACTGTACAATGGGAACTAGACCTCAATGAACTGTACATGGGAACTAGACCTCAATGAACTGTACATGGGAACTAGACCTCAATGAACTGTACATGGGAACTAAACCTCAATGAACTGTACATGGGAACTAGACCTCAATGAACTGTACATGGGAACTAGACCTCAATGAACTGTACATGGGAACTAGACCTCAATGAACTGTACATGGGAACTAGACCTCAATGAACTGTACATGGGAACTAGACCTCAATGAACTGTACATGGGAACTAGACCTCAATGAACTGTACATGGGAACTAGACCTCAATGAACTGTACATGGGAACTAGACCTCAATGAACTGTACATGGGAACTAGACCTCAATGAACTGTACATGGGAACTAGACCTCAATGAACTGTACATGGGAACTAGACCTCAATGAACTGTACATGGGAACTAGACTAACTGTACATGGGAACTAGACCTCAATGAACTGTACATGGGAACTAGACCTCAATGAACTGTACATGGGAACTAGACCTCAATGAACTGTACATGGGAACTAGACCTCAATGAACTGTACATGGGAACTAGACCTCAATGAACTGTACATGGGAACTAGACTTCAATGAACTGTACATGGGAACTAGACCTCAATGAACTGTACATGGGAACTAGACCTCAATGAACTGTACATGGGAACTAAACCTCAATGAACTGTACATGGGAACTAGACCTCAATGAACTGTACATGGGAACTAGACCTCAATGAATGTACATGGGAACTAGACCTCAATGAACTGTCAATGAACTGTACATGGGAACTAGACCTCAATGAACTGTACATGGGAACTAGACCTCAATGAACTGTACATGGGAACTAGACCTCAATGAACTGTACATGGGAACTAGACCTCAATGAACTGTACATGGGAACTAATGAACTCTACATGAACTGTACATGGGAACTAGACCTCAATGAACTGTACATGGGAACTAGACCTCAATGAACTAACTAGACCTCAATGAACTGTACATGGGAACTAGACCTCAATGAACTGTACATGGAACTGAACTAGACCTCAATGAACTGTACATGGGAACTAGACCTCAATGAACTGTACATGGGAACTAGACCTCAATGAACTGTACATGGGAACTAGACCTCAATGAACTGTACATGGGAACTAGACCTCAATGAACTGTACATGGGAACTAGACCTCAATGAACTGTACATGGGAACTAGACCTCAATGAACTGTACATGGGAACTAGACCTCAATGAACTGTACATGGGAACTAGACCTCAATGAACTGTACATGGGAACTAGACCTCAATGAACTGTACATGGGAACTAGACCTCAATGAACTGTACATGGGAACTAGACCTCAATGAACTGTACATGGGAACTAGACCTCAATGAACTGTACATGGGAACTAAACCTCAATGAACTGTACATGGGAACTAGACCTCAATGAACTGTACATGGAACTGTACTACACTAGACCTCAATGAACTGTACATGGGAACTAGACCTCAATGAACTGTACATGGGAACTAGACCTCAATGGAACTGTACATGGGAACTAGACCTCAATGAACTGTACATGGGAACTAAACCTCAATGAACTGTACATGGGAACTAGACCTCAATGAACTGTACATGGGAACTAGACCTCAATGAACTGTACATGGGAACTAGACCTCAATGAACTGTACATGGGAACTAGACCTCAATGAACTGTACATGGGAACTAGACCTCAATGAACTGTACATGGGAACTAGACCTCAATGAACTGTACATGGGAACTAGACCTCAATGAACTGTACATGGGAACTAGACCTCAATGAACTGTACATGGGAACTAGACCTCAATGAACTGTACATGGGAACTAGACCTCAATGAACTGTACATGGGAACTAGACCTCAATGAACTGTACATGGGAACTAGACCTCAATGAACTGTACATGGGAACTAGACCTCAATGAACTGTACATGGGAACTAGACCTCAATGAACTGTACATGGGAACTAGACCTCAATGAACTGTACATGGGAACTAGACCTCAATGAACTGTACATGGGAACTAGACCTCAATGAACTGTACATGGGAACTAGACCTCAATGAACTGTACATGGGAACTAGACCTCAATGAACTGTACATGGGAACTAGACCTCAATGAACTGTACATGGGAACTAGACCTCAATGAACTGTGGGAACTAAACCTCAATGAACTGTACATGGGAACTAGACCTCAATGAACTGTACATGGGAACTAGACCTCAATGAACTGTACATGGGAACTAGACCTCAATGAACTGTACATGGGAACTAGACCTCAATGAACTGTACATGGGAACTAGACCTCAATGAACTGTACATGGGAACTAGACCTCAATGAACTGTACATGGGAACTAGACCTCAATGAACTGTACATGGGAACTAAACCTCAATGAACTGTACATGGGAACTAGACCTCAATGAACTGTACATGGGAACTAGACCTCAATGAACTGTACATGGGAACTAGACCTCAATGAACTGTACATGGGAACTAGACCTCAATGAACTGTACATGGGAACTAGACCTCAATGAACTGTACATGGGAACTAGACTCAACCAACTGTACATGGGAACTAGACCAAGGAACTGTACATGGTTGATCCATACCTCAATGAACTGTATGGAATATTGGAACAAGAACTGTAGGACAGAGAAGTGGGCGATAATGACTCTACACTTGAACTGCAGGTTCAACTAGAAAATATTAACAGCAGAGATATGAAGTTTTTTAAATGTTCCCATGGTCAGGTCTCCTGAAATACAGAATTGCGTTGCTCCCCAGTGTCAGGTCTCCTGAAATGACAAAATCACGACGTACAAATGCATGGTGCTACCTTTCCGTAGTGCGTGACCACTCTGTCTGCCTTCACTTGGGATCCGGGCTGATAGTACTGGACGGCAGTGGCTCGGATGTTATAGTCGTAGTAGAAGTCAGCCTTTACCTGAAAGAGATAACATAGGAGAGGGATTTTACATGTCACATAATCGAAGTATGAGAAAGAATTCCTTCCAGTGTGAACTTTCCAGTAGAACACTGCCAACCGTCAGTTTGACCTAATGTTAGTCAAAGAATTTCAATATCGGAGACTGAATTACTACTTCATCATTATAGTTGTCTTCATGGAATGTTTTATCAGATCAATTTAGTGCCCACAGGACAGGACATGTTGACCTATTCACGAACACCTTCCATCTACGATTTCAACTTGCATACCCAGATGGAATTGGTTTCCATCGAGATGGATAACACTCTAGCGTTGACATTGTATATTTCAAATAACAATCATCATTTTCCAACCTTATGTACACAGGCAAACTGTATTTGCAATATGGAACGTCACACATACAAAGAAGCGAGGAAACTACATGTCCAGCCAGATCCTGTTCGCCCTCTTTTATTGCCCTTGAATCCTTTCTAGGGTGGACCTGGGGACAAGTGCAGTAATTGGCCCCGGATGGACAGCATTCGAAAACCCTATTGACGGCCTTATGTGCTAAGAGAACGAAGAGGATTAAGTAAGTACGTAATCCTTACTAGGAGACAAAATATTTGTCATTCTCAAAACACATGTCTCTTTGTCCTTAGTATATACCTTCATTGCGCATGTGTTGTTAGTTGTTCGTTTGTGTTATGTGTTATGAAACTGATGGGATTCAAATATAAATAATGTCACAAAACCCCTTTCCATGATTATACAAATATCTTCTAAAAGCACAGTGTATTGTTCGATTCCAACTGTAGCATTCGCTTTTGTTGATGAATTACTATCAAATAGTCATAACACCAGGTGTTCGCGGAAAGGAAGGGATATCCTGCCACACCGATGTCACCCATCTCAACAAACATGTATGAACATTGTAGATGAATGTGCCTTTATCACAAACAGATGCCAATACATTTACCCAAAAATGTCGGAAGAGTACAGTTGTATTTTGTATTTAACACAGAACACCTCAACACCTGAAGGTACAAATGCAAATGTCGCTGTAGTAAACTTACACCGTTTCCTTGGGAGAGTGCGCCAACGTCGATCATCGTGGCTGACCACAGAGCGTCGATGCAGCAAGGTAGGACTTGAGCCTTGACGGCCGCCAGAGAGAAGACAGTGACCAGGAGGAGCAGCATGGTGGACATCACGACCAAGGATCATGACGCTGACGAACTGTCCGCTACTTTTATGGGTATTCGATACGTTTCGGCAACTGTTTTCATACTTAACTGATAAAGCCGGGAACACCGTTCCATGCAATTATGGTACAATGATTGCTTTTCAGCGTCAAGTTAAGTCACCAAACTGTATGTTAAATGAAACATATTTGAAACTTATAAAGAACTAACATTACTGACATCCCATTGAGCTGTTTATGGACTCTAAAGTAAAACAAAACAACCAACACATACCAACAAACACATGACAGTACTGGTTCGATCAAACGGACGCTCTTCCATTTATCTTTTTGCAAGAATTTACATGATAAAGGGCATATTTCGCAATAGAAGATTCATATTTCGAAATACGAAACGTACTGAGATTAAGTACGTTTGATCTTTGGACGATATTATTTCTACGGTCATTCCCGCTGTCTACCAAACGATTACAGGTGTCATGTTTCAAGATCCTTTGGTTGCACATTTCGCGTTTCAATTGTTTCTTCAGGGATTATACATACAGGTAACATGAAATGATCATGTTTATGTCACTGTAACTGTCTTCTGTCCTTTCTGCTGCCGATTTTCTAAAATCAAATCAACGGTCACCTATTCTAATTGATATACTAATGTTCGTCGATGGCCTTTTCAGTGAGTCAATCACATCGGCAATATTTCAGCCATGTCGTGACTGAAACATGTTATGTACTGATAATGAATAATATTCGATTGTACAGCCTGTCGACAAAGGGCAGTCAAACAACTGAAGTATCACAGATGATAACCGTCCAAAACAAAATGACTGAATTCAACAGATACAAACATGTGTATATACTGATAGAGACTCATATGTTTTATCTGAGGTTCAAGCCATGGCACATAGGACAATTCGTCTTGCTTGTTGTTGCTCGTCAAATGAATTTGTCTAACGTTTCACATCACAGAAAATGTCTAGAAAGGAAATAGATATTAATGACATTATTATTTGTCTAAATTGAGAAAATGCATATCTGTGTATCTTTATGCTTATAATACAATTCAGGGAAGGTGGTCTTCTGAATGTAATAATCCCAAATCTATAAAACTCGGAATTTACTTTCGACATAACCACGACACATTTTTGCCAGATTCCATTTACAACACCGATAACTTCAGACTAAAGCAATATGTAGTTCAAAATCATGCGAGAAAATACTTCAAATGACAACTGCTCATTAATAATAAGAGCTCTGTACAAAAAGACTGCGTCTTGATACAAGCATTGAAATCTTCAAGATGATGATGCAAAATTTGCGAAACATGTAACTACATCTTTACTTAGTTAAACATAATAGAAGATCTACGTTATGAAAAGCTTGTCATATAAGGACATCCGCTCATACATAGTACACTCATAAAGTGACATTTGATGGTCATTTTTTACCCTTAATCAAGACATCCATTTATTCATAGACATATATACAGAAGTGAGTATGCAAAGCTTTTATGATCTTCGTGAAGATCAACCGTGGATGTTCCATGTTGTTGGAAACTCGTATCTGGTTATAGCGATATTTTGCGATATTTTTCAAAAGAAAATACACACTTGAAATTTGGATTTACCAAAACATTACAAATGTTATCAAAATCTTACTCTATTAAAAAAAATACCCTGCAATCTAAGACCATGATTCCCGTAGCATCTACATTGCCATTTAATATCTGTTTAATGTTTCTGTCTTGTTGAGCCATCATGAAACATGGGTGTATGTTTTCTTTGACAGGCAGTTCAAACAGTTCAAATAGTAAAACCAACATACATACTATTATGTGGCAGTGATTTTCATCATTCGAGTAGTACATTGTGTTCTATACTTAGACTTGTGCTATATTTAGGCAGATTGGAATGTATTGCAATCCTATGGGCACTTTCCACTAGATTCTGATCCAGTCATCTCCAGGTGTATAAGGGGAGCTAACTCATCTCACATTACATCTCAAGTTACAGAAAGACCAGCAATTGTGTGGAGATCATTCCTAACCCGGCTACTCAGCCTAGGCCTATTCTGGAAACTAGATCATTGTTGCAGTGAGGTGAATGTTATATTACCATCTCTGTTTTCATTGCTACAATCACTGTTTTGTATCATATTAAGTTGAATTCGTACAGCCATTGTATACCTTCTGAAGTGATGTGAATGAATTTGTGAACCAAATTAATTGTAGAATACAGTTATATCACATTACTTTGATGTTGTTGGTTCTTTTATGGAGTGATTCCCTGTTAAGGTTTAGTTTAAACCTGGGATTCAATGTACAAGACATCTCACTCGCTTTCTCGTCACAAAACAATGTCTTCTTATATGTGTGAAATAATCGACTAAAACCAATGTCGATTGGAGAATCGTCAGTATTACAAACATACGTTTATAAATCATTATTAAATCGCATTGATACATGCGTTCGTCAAAAGGTATTCCGTCCCATCGATGGTACCGGTGACAAACACATTCCAAAGCAAGTCAATCGCTAACCAGAAAAAGTCAAATAACGAATTGCATCGGACATCAGTTAGTCATCGGTATATCTCACATGGCAGAGTTGAGGCGTTTGGGCACATACGCAAAATATGTCCAACTGTCCAAACACACATGCTCACACAATCACACTTGTGTACATGTTTTGTCTAATTGTTTTACACATGCTGTACTGTTGGCCTCATGGCCATCTATACGAAATAAATGATGATGACAATCACACCTAAACACTGACTGACTGAGTTTTGGTTTTACGCCGCTTTTAGCAATATTCCAGCAACATCACGGCGGGGGACACCAGAAATGGACTTCACACATTGTACCCATGTGTGGATTCGAACCCGGGTCTTCGGCGTGACGAGCCAACGCTTTAACCATTAGGCTACCCCACCGCCCCCACTTAAACACATACATGCATGCACCCTCACACACTGGATTACCTTAGTTTCAGTATTTTGAAACCTCAGACTAATGTTGCGAAATATGCACAAAAGTTGGGCAACGCTCTGACCTGGGTAAACTGATACCAGTAATCAGATAAGCGGTTTAACTTTTTAACCTTACCCTTTTAGCGAACACTTGGCGTCATCAAGAATTTGCAGTAATTTATTCATATATCTTTCATTGCTATTTCGTCTTTCACGCGCAAATGAATTGGGTGGATAATCGAGACGTGTTTTCGTTTTGACGTTATATTTCACTGAGATATTTTTGTTATGGTATATCTCCAGATTGTATTTACCATAAAACATGGAATGTGTTTTAGTTCTTTGCGGTTACATATTCTGCGTAAATGTAGATCGTTCATGTGGTATATATACTGAGAGAAACAAATAAAGGAACAGGAAAATCCAAGAGTTCCTTTAATGTTTTCCATTTTTCATCACAAGCTTTGAATAACGCTGCGAGAGAAAATCTGAGAGTACCTAAAGGAACACTGCCATGAATTGGTGCACCCTTATTTATTTCCTCGGTGTATTTGGAACTAAATAGGGCATAGGTATTTTTTCACATTTACCACATAGATGGCAACCACAAGCGAGGGTATTGTTACCAGATATGGTAATCGAAGTAGATTGGAAACCTTCACCAGGTCAAGTGGTTTCTAGCCAGCGAAATCTACATGTACTCACATGAGTATTGATCAATCAAGTACCACCAGTTTTTGTATACAATAGTAAGTCCTGATGGCAATAACATAAACATATTTTGTGTACGGTAGTATGACCTGATGGCAATAAAAGAAGGAGCTTTGTATGCTTTAGTAATGTATGGTGGCAATTAGTGGTGTTCCGATGATCGAAAATAATCGAAAATCGAATCGAAAGAAGGATTAAAAATAATGATCGATTGTAAAAGACATATTTTCAATTAATCGGAATTAGGTTGTTTCAGTATAACACACCTGAATGAAGTAAGCTAACCATTAAATTTGACGAATATTCACGAACAAACATGCGCTCAAGAACGTAACGCTATGCGCATTGTAAAAGTTTAACCACTTTTATTGTTTAATTACAATTCCAGTGTCTTTCTTGCATGTGTAAGAACATATACTTGTACACCAAGTTTCGATATGATCAGAAATGAAATATGTAAAGTTTACAATATCGAGAAAACACATGCCATCTCTTCTTGCAATTTCCCCAAATTTGTTTGATTTTGGTCAGATTTTCATCAATTGTTTGATTGATGCTAACGTACAACCGACCCATTTTTTCCTACAATGTCATTTGTTATAAAAAGCCAATGGGATGGTGCAGATGGGATCGATATGCAATGCTGTTGCCAACGCACTCGGATGCCACCGTATCACGGTCATAAGACTTATTCAGGGCTTCAGACAGACTGGGGTCACCGTAGACAGACCAAGATGTGGACGTCCACGCATCACAACGCCAGTTGAAGTTAGGTACCTCCGTCATTAAAGACGGAGGGTAACGTTTCTTTTGGCGTTTAGTGTATATGCATTGTACACTGCATTTTACGTTCTGTAACGCAGATTACCGCGATTGTGGCGACATATTTCGTAACGTCACGTTTGTTTTGTTTTTGACGATAATCCCTTTATTTTTTCGTAGACATTACAGTCATGTACGTAGAAACTATGGGAAGTGATTTTAAACACCTACGATGGTGAACATACTAATTGCATCCATTTTTTAAACACTTTGGCGACAACAAGAATGAATACATTGTGACACGTGTTTTGATTGTTACAAACAAAATAGTCATTTCAATTTGATTTCGACGAATTTTACCATGTTTACCTGGTAGTACTGGGTGCGTATCTGACTTTTGTTCGTGTTTATTTGTATGCTAAAAAAATACAAATGAAAACGACCTCAGAAATAGATGATTGGGCATTCTCTCTTAGCATTGGTGAGAATATGAATATGATTAAGACAGTTCGCTCTAAGCCCTAATGCTAGAGCGTCCTCGTAGTAAGTTGAGATGTTTCCACCAGTGATGTTGGCCAAATGAAGCAACTGCATGCCACGAAACGGGGTACAACTGAGTTAGTTGCACTGTACTTAGCAAA